AAGCGATCAGCCCTTGTGCGTTGTTCCCGTCCCCACGAGCCAAACAGCATGGTCGAAAGTACGAAAGAGGTCGGGTAATTTAGCCGTCCAAGATGCACCATCCGCGCCCTTTAGCACCACATTTGTTTTCTCGAGGCCCTCTAGGGATATGACAAGTCAAACAAGCCTTGACACCCTCACAGCGGCTGTGTCTTAGGAAGGAGTACGTTGTGAGTTTCGACAATATCATTGGATAATATACAACGTCTCTATCCTCCAATCACCTTCATTTCTCCCCAATATGAAGAACCGAGGTCCTTCCATCGCAAACTTTAGCCAATATTTTTAGTGGCAAGGCAACATCACGTCCAAGACATGTACTCACATAGAAGAAATCGTCAAGGACAGAACTATAAACGACCCCTTAGCACAGCCTCAGGCTAACGGTATAACCCTCTCACCTATGTATACTATTCGTATATGCTGGCGCAGGCGAAGACATTGGTAACTGCCTAAAGAGGCAAGAGAAGACTACTATGTACGCATATGCCGTCCAACCTCAGCAACCCCCAGCTTGGCGCTCATCAATGCGCTCATCAATGTTACTCGGATCCAGATCAGATGTATGGATTACGATTAGCTATGTGTCCAAGCAAGGCTAGTTGCAACTACACAGCGTAAGTTGGATGTCGTTGAAAGGTCTTGTCAGAGCCTCAATCTCCACTAGTCTCCTGCTAGACGGTTTAAACCCACCAGAATGGCAAGTCACAAGGCCACAAGGCAAACTCCAAGCTCGGAAAATCCGGCACACTACCCGACCTGGACTCTAAATCTGGTGAGTATCGTGGCTCCCTCGCTTCGTTGTACCCACCCATATGCATGTTCGCGCTGCCAGCAAATCGGCTGCCAAGCGTGAAAAAATCAAACATTGTTGACCTGCAAGTTCACCTAGTTTGCCCCTAGGGGACTATCGTGTGTAACGATGAGACGACTATTGGACCATAACATGCAAAGCTTCTCATTAAATATACGCTTAGGCCGACTAATTTAGTTGGGATTTAAACGATTTCTTTAAACTGCGAGACAACATATTCGGCTAGATGTGGTATAGGTATTGATTGGTACGGATCCGTACCTAAGTGTGTTTTACCCCAACCTACCTGAAGTAGGTAGACTGGTAGGTAGCCAAGCTGTGAGAAATCGTAAGGTAGCAAAATCAGTAATCCTTTTACACCATATGATCTAATATCTTTCTTAGCTACTGTAATTAGCGCTCTCTAAAATAGGAAAGATACAGTATTGCCACATATGAATTATAGAAACAATACATCTCCGTTCTATTTACAGTTGGATGAGTTATCCCTTAGAATGAATATATGGCGATACTATAATCCCCGATGAATATCTTTGCGCGACATGTTACATATTATTTACACATTGACCTTGGCAAATATTATTTACATCTTCTATTAGGAAGGTTTGTAATCCTTAAGTGAGCACGAGTTGTTGGGATGGCGTATAATAAGCCCGGGAGCTTCTAAGTTACTCACTGGCTACCGACATCACAGCTGACAAAATGACAAAATGACAAAATGTCGTGTTACCAGTAGTATAGCGGTGTTTTATATCAAGTGCATAGAGATCTGTAATGAGATGGAACGTCCGGAACACCGTATATAATAAGCCAACTGCGGTCTAAGGTGTAAACTCCAACTCCTTGTCCGTGAGTGCTGAGATCAGTTACTTGGTGATCAACACCGCTTGCAAACTGTACACCATTCGGAAGGAGATAGGGGGCCGTTCTCACAAATATCCCATTGTAAAGAATTCGATGCTACTCGCCGACTCTTATTTTATCACCGCATTAGAAGCGTACTGCAGATTATCATTACACTACCAGCGGTCATCCGTTTGTCGTCAACGTAGCCGCAGACTTCTAGACGCGCCACTAGCAGCTACCCTAGCCTCTACGATGATTCTGTATCGGGATGAGACGGCACGGAAAGGACACGCAAATTTGACCTAGCTGGCATTATTTGGGAAAAAATGTGTTTCTAGAACGACGTGACAGATTCTGCTGTGTTACTCGTAGCTGCATGGCCCCTTTCCGGAAATTATTGTCGGGCCACATAACCGCCACAGAAGGGTTCAATGAACCACAATTTACTTACTAGCAGGTATCCAGTTACTCGCTCGTAGAGCTGCCTAGCTCATAGAGTTGTTTCGCAGCTTTCCATACGCTACCCGCTGGCGATCTGTGGACTGCTTCCGGAAACCCTCTTGGAGATATTATATCGGAATTCACGGCAAAAACGTACCATGGGATGTTTGTTAATTGTTCAGCTCGAGTGGCGGAACCGACTTCGAGCTTAGATCGATGCTAATAGTAAGCCACGAATGTCCGCTACGACTATGGTGTACGCTACGGGAGGTTAGTGGTTGATTATGGCCCAACGAGTGCTCTAGAAAACTTCCGCTGCACTACGAGAACAGCGATGCCCATGGCCTGGGCCCGGACTAGGCCCAACCACGACCCGTTTTTAGAGTATCTGTACTAATCCTCGTGCAAAGTGCGGTAGCACTAGGATACCGAAAACCCCGAGCCTTTCACGATAGTCCGGAAGGTAAGGATAGGTTGATGGTCGAGGGAAGACGACTACGGATTACTCTCCACGGCGTGATATTTTGCTACGACGAACGCCATATAATCTCGCTAAAGGCGGCGACCGGAATACGAATGGCATGTTTTAACCTCGTTAGGGATGGTAGATATGCCATCTGCCGGCGGGGGGCTTATATTGATTCTCGATGACACCCCACGACACGATTCTGGGCGAAATCTGAAGGTCAATCCTCATTAAATACCGGGGAATTTAATACCAAGAACCCCAATCGTGGATGCTCATATTTTCTCTTCGAAATTTGACTTGTCGGGAGCAACGGGCTGAATAGGTACCTAAGGTAATGTCTAGAACAGTCAGGTTACCCCTTTTCTAGAAGGGTAACACGACGAGCACAAATGTCGGGCGTAACACAGACACATTTGGTTATGCCTAAATACCATCGTGACTATCCGAGTCACACTTGTGAAACGACATGTGTGACCAGCGAATAGATGGCAATTCTTATGGGGGAAAGTAGATTGGCATCACAACGGAAGGCCTACAGTAGCCCCCTAGTGGGGATATCTTAGGGTCTCTCCATCGTAGATTAGAACACCTTTAGGTAGTTATCCAAGGTTAATTAAACCCCCATCATACCTATTTACACGGACCTTAACTTCTACTCACTCGGAAGCGATATAAAAAGGTAACACGGCCAAGACAAACCTCGAGATGCTAACTCCCGACGGAAGGTGTGATTTCCTTCTTGATGCCCAGCCAGGTCGATTCATTACATATGTCTACTCATATCGAGATGAATATGAGCTCTAAAGCCCCAGAATGAGTACCACCCCAAGTCAGCCAGCAATAGGGGCCGTACGAGCTCGAATCACGAATACTCCTTACATCCACGATTAAATATACGACATATATGTGTGTAGGCATGTATGTATACACTAAGCACAGGCAATATAGCTACGTTGAACTACTCTAGTTCGCATATACCTTCTCTTATTAACTATGTTCGCGACTCCAAGTTGTTCAATGCTCTAGAGACATTCACTTCCGTGTGGCAATGTCCCTCTGGCAGCCTTGGACGATGGATGATGCTTTCATCTCCGAGGACATTCAACTGCTGTAATATCCATATTCCAAATATCGACACTATTCAATAGAGTCAGCATTGACTTGTTGCCGCATCGTGGCATCGGGGGGGGGAAACAAGCTCAAAGGAAAGATGGCAATACTACAGTAATCCAATTGTATGTAACCCCTATTATCCCTTGCCATGAGTTAGGCACTCTGGGTTCATCCCATCACTCACTAATCAACAATTTAAATCCTTACTCAAATAGGGTCACTCAACCGAAGTGAATGTTCAGAGAAGTAAGATACAAATAAGAGATAGATACTATGTTACTGTACATGATCTTGAGTTCACTCGTGGTCAACTGAGAATACTACTGAGATTTGGCGCTAGGGGAGAAGGGCCAAATCTCACCGAGGACTCACACAATGTCTCGTTCACAAAACATCGGGAATATTACACATGATTCAAGGGGCAATTGATAGATAATCATATATAGATCTTGATGATTAGATAGGCTGGCTTTACAGTATGACCTTAGCCTAGGCTCATTATCTAGCCAGAAGTTAATCGTCACAATGAGATTATACCTGCATTCCGCTCGACTAGAGACAACAGGCACAGCTTAAATCCACTCCGGACCTGTCGAAGTTTCAAAGCCTCAGCATACGAGTAATTCCACAGATAAGCTTAGTCTAGGAATGAAAGTTCTTGTCACATTAGCAAGGAGCTTTATGAGCCTTGTATGTATCTATCTACAGGCCAGGGAGCTATATCCCATCTAAAAACGTCGCCGCTGGTTATATCTATGCTCGAACTACGACATCCCGATGCCGATGAACGGTTATGTACGTAGTTCGGCATTCCGTAGCGTATGGCCCGGTAATCCGGATCAGACGCCGAACCCTGCTCACGTGGCGGATCTTCAACGCGAACGCGAGCCGGAACTCAATCGGGGAGCCGCGGGCTTCGGATCGGACTAGATAGCTAGGGCTGACAAGGTCCGGGGTCGACCGAACATACTAGGTTAAGACTATCGCCTATCTCAACCGGCTAGGGCAGTGTCGTCATCATAAGGTATAAGTATACGAAGAGGGTATAGAATAACTCGTCAGCTCCTCCAGGCTCCAGCTATTCGGATCCCGACAGCCAATCAAGAGCATAGCGATATATTGAATTCGCAATTCGGCTTATGGGACTACGTATAAGTTGAAAGCTAGCAGCTGACGTATCACTATGTAGGCCACGGGAAGCGGGGGATCTCATGTAGGACTTTCAAAGGGCAGGGGGAGAAAGAAGCATAGCAGCGGGGTATTTGCTAGTATTGCGGTATGCGGCATGGCGTAGTATTATACCTGGATAGCTACCTTCTTGACTGCAATTGGGCCAGAGGTATGTTGTCAGTAGCAATCGGAGTCCATCCTAGGTAAGTGAGGTGCCGAGGATCGCATATAGTATAGTCTCAACAGTTATCATGGTGTTAGTCACAGCCTTACCGTGCCGTAATCAAAACCACCACGTTCTGTGATATTCCTCAACATCACCCCATGCGAGATGGAATCACTTTACATCTTATGCTAACTAAAGGAAATAAACTAATCCTATTATCATTCTCTGTAATTATCCATTATCCACTAGCTTAGCTTGTTACGTCTTACTTTTGCCGGTGCGGTAAGACACATACGAACGTTTCGAGTGTAACAAAATAGCTTGGCGATAGTTTCAATTCCTGCCAAGCCTGTTTCAACGAACCGAAGAAACCATGTCTTACGCCGATAACTTGTATTCTATGGGTGATGAATCAGATGGCGACGACTACGCAGATCAATTATCGCCTTCGGACGGTTACTTCGCCTCATCATCCTCGTCCCATGCCGTTCCAAACGTACCAAACGTCTTAGTCCCCGACCCCACGCTCCACCAGACATCTGAGTCTGGCGCTGAATCAAAAGCAAGAGAGGCAGAGGAGGAAAGGTCGTCATCAAATACTCAGAGGCCAGAAGACTCTTATCATAACTATAACCACACTGCTACAAGATCAGGCCCTACCGAACATCCTAGTCCGTCGGAGCAGCACGCTACTAGTTCGACCGCACCACGTCAACAGCAGTCCAATTCCGCGTCTACACATACGTATTCGCCCTCGTCATCGTCATATACTCATCTCAGAACCTATCCAACACGAGGGCGGACTCCTTCCGTATATTCGGACGCACCACCGGCGTATTCACCATCGCCCATCTCCCCTCTCTCGCCCACCAACCAACAAACCCAATCTAGAAGCTACAGCACATTTACCCCTACCATGGGTGTACAGGAAACCATCGAGAACGAGCGGCTGCTAGCCAGAGGTCCCGAGAGCATCGGCCAACCGATTGACGAAGAACTTGGTAACACTAACACACCGCACTGGACTCGACGAGTCAGGAGACGGCTGCCTACGTGGCTCGGCTGGAGGACCCTGGTGCTTGGCCTGATTGTACTGGTTGTCTCGATAGGATTTCTAGCGAATTCTTTGCGGATTATAAAAGAAGATGATCATGTAAGCCGGACTATCTAACTTCACCTTTCTCTTGGCATCCGTCGGAACCTGTCGCTAATATGGTTACCCAGAGGAAAACTATTGGGGCGCAGCCGCCGCCCGAGTCCGTAAAGGAGCCCGTAGCTGGACCCGGACCCGACGCGCCTGGGGTCGCCGGCCCTTTCCCGCCAACGTATTGCGACAACGCAGTGCATCGCTTCGAGGATCAGATCTTAGGCCTCAACTTTGATAGGAACCACAATATTACTTTTATAGAGGACCAGCACGCGCACCCCGGAAATATCCAGGTGCGCGTTGCTGGTCAAGTCAATGTGCGAAGGCTTGATGCCGGAGGTAGTCCGCGCTTGGTACTGGAGATCGTCACTAACGACAAGGATATCCTGCTCGACGTCTTCATGGACGAAGAAGCCCAGGCCTTGAAGGTGAGCGTACCTAAGAAGTACAACTCCCTAGACCCGAACATCTGGCCTTGCGTCGAAATGCGAGCGACCATCTGGGTGCCCGAAAACGCCGAGATAGGAGTGCTGTCACTGGGCTCAATCCATCTTGACATGTTATTTTTAGACGACTTGTCCCTCCACGTGGCGGGTTACACTAGGGCCTCTTCCATCGTAGGAGATATCACGTCCGGCTCGGACCGCCCTACCTCGTACAACAACACTGGCTTCACGCTGTCGGCTCCGGAGTACACCTTCATCCCTGCTAAAGATTCGTACGTGCTCGACTCTCGTATTACCGAGATCACGACCACGTCGGGTAAGATCGAAGGCAACTGGCCTCTTTACGACATGCTAGGGTTGCACACGACCTCCGGCCACATCACAGTGTCGATCACGCCCAAGGAAGAACTCGAAACGGACCCGAAGGCTGCTGTGCTGTCCTTGAGCTCGATATCCGGCACTGTCTATGCCACGGAGCCGGTGCACTTGAGAGAGCAAATCCCGCTTCGCGACTATCTTGTCGATATCAAGTCGACTTCGGGTGGTATCCATGGCGCCTTCGCATTTGGCGCCGGCATCGAACTCAAGAGTACTGCTAGCGACATCGCCCTTGACTTGCTTCCCGTGATGCACGAGGGCAGGGTGTCGCCGGATCGACCCGCTCAGCTGGAGACAGCAACGACGAGCGGTACTACAGCCATCCGCGTGCTTGAGCCGATTTGGTACGGAGACAGGGGACTGGTTAGCGGCAGGCCGCTCGACTGCCTACAGGCGCTTCACAAGTCCACCAGCGGGGACATCGGACTGCGATATCCCCAAGCATGGGAGGGGTACTTACGCGCCGAGACGACGAGTGGCAGGCTAAAGGTCAAGGGAAGGGATGTCAAGGTCATCAGGTCTATCGGAGGTTGGCCGGGATCTCAGCTGGAAGCCCAGAAGGGCGCGGGTGGTCCCGGTTCGACCGTCCAGGTCCACGCTCTTATGGGTAATATGGACACCGTTATCGGCAGGGAATAATGAACAGATGGGCGTGTGTGTGGATATGATGCGTGCGTCTAGGAAGAGGGAGTTGAATGGATCATGGATTGAGGCATTCTGCCTAGTTTTACGTAGGAGATAAAGATACCCTCGCATTCGTTAATTATCTCAGGGCTGTGTTTGGGATAGGTGAACGGCGTTATGGGTTTCGAGTATAGGTTCGATGCCTAGGTTAGTCTTCAATGGTAACCATAAATATAAATATAATATCTCTGATTGTACTACATGTATTATTGTCTTTTAGCTCACCTTCCGTATGAATTCTTCTTGGTAAGCTATAAGTTACAAGGTTGGTCTGGCTTGGGAAGAGCACTTGCCAATATCTATATCTAAAATAGCATATAGACTAAGGATATAGTAAGAACCTACGAAGCTTCTGTAACTTGTCTATACCTTCTTAAGCTGGGAGGCAAGTGCAGTTGTGTAATATGTAAGGTATCTAAAGCAGTGCCCCTTATGAGTTCTATTTTTTCAACCATCCCGACTTTTACGAACTGCCTATTTCTCTTATAGGAGATGTCAGCATTCTATAAAGCACAGTTCTTCCTCGTTAGTCGTTAGATATACAATAAGGAATGTTAGCATAGTCATATCAATATCCAATCCCAACGATTTTACCAACACACCACTCGCTTTTAATTGAACACAGCAAGATGTGCCGGATACACAGAACCCGTACACCTTGCCCAACCTGCGGAAGCATTACGATGAGCAACGATAGGGTCGAGTATTGCCTCGCGCGTGACCTCTGTGAAGAAATACGGCTCGTCCTCAACAGGTCGGAACCACGCCAATGCATCATTTGCACCACAGGAATGAATCCTCCATCACAGGCAAATGGCCACCCACCACAGGCAAATGGCCACCCGACACAGGCAAACGGCCATACACCACAGGCAAACGGCCAAGTCATACGTCCGCCGGACGGGCCCCAGAGCCATGGAGAAAACCACGGTAATAATGCATCGGCAAACCAAGCGAACTTGCAAGAAAGTGAAGACTTAAGTGACGTCAATATAATGATAGGGGTTTACCGGCAGGTTGGGGTATGGCTCCTCCGGGAGATATGAATCAAGAACGCACCCCTTTTCTTGGTATCAACCCGCCTCACGTAAGGGGGTTTCAACATCCGTATCTATTTAGGAACATGGAGGCTCGCCGGGGGCTATGGAATCAGTACCATTTTTATATGGTGTTCATCAGTATATACTGGGATAGCGTGGTCTGTGATTCAGGGTATTGCTTTGAAGCGTGTTCTAGTATATGGTTCAGTCGTTGTGTTGTATACCTTCCCAGCGTTCAGGTAGCCATATAGATCTTTTAGAAGATCAAAAGGTATGATACGGAAACTTTCGAATAGTTCTAGGCTCTAACATAACAAGCTTTCCATATACGTATGATTATAAGCAACGAGCAAAGCATTTAAAATGTAATTCTTATTATTGAGAAAATGTCCTATAGGAAGGGAAAGGGGGAGGAGTTCGTGAGATGGGTCGAGAGATTTCAGCAACAAAGGGCTCCAAAAGAATCCCATTAATAACTGCCTATACCACCTATACCACCTAGTCACTAGCTGAAATATGAGTTGTTACTGTTTATTATGGAATATAACTCTTGCAACGTGATATCGGGTAACAGATACAACTAATCTTGACCACGAGCGGCTTCACATTAGAGCAAACAACTCACGAACAACCTCGCGTGATAGTCACTGCCTCGTGGTTTCAAGTAACTGTTTGCATGGCTTGTCTAGTTTAAAACATCTAATATTAGAGCATCAAAGGAGCAATACCTTTGTGATGCTACTATCAATAGCCTTCTATCTCATTTCTTTATATACGACGTCTCATCCTTTCACTACAGACTGCTGTAGTACAAAAAAGCCTAGAATAGCCAACTCGCCCTCTAGACAATGTGGAAAAGTCTTTGTACTCTACTTGGGGGACTTTCCTTATCCCATTCACCGTGAATTGCGCACAATGGGTACCATCTGGTTACAATGATGACGAAGTAGACGACGCGACCAACTCGAGAGACTTGCCTAAAATTTGCGAGCTGTGCACACAAATCGTATTCAACTCACGTCGCCGCCTTCACTATTTTGCCCACAGTACAGTTTTCCACCGACACAAATCGGCATTGATTGCCTTATTTAAATTTTTCGCTTCGCCGATGTCATCCAAACAGTTTAGACAACCAAACCCCCTCCACTTCCGACCGCGTACTCGTCCATCGCATCGTCGACATCTCGTAATACTTCCTGCAGCCAAGCGTCGTACCACTACCGCCAGTCATTTCCTGCACCAGAGTTACACCTAGGGACCATGTGCATCGAGATCTGGAACACCTTCCGGGGATGCAGCCACCGCTTATACCAGAACACATCCCCCTGCCACGTTGCCAGGCGATGCGGTCCCAAAGATGACATGGTTCTGGACAAGACCAAGTTCTTGCCAGATAAACAACCCAAGCTACCCCCCGGGATGCTGCAATGCGAACGCCGCGTCGCTCTGAGACCAAAAGATACCCCGTGCCCGGAGTGCGCTAGGGAGCAACGGCGGGCTGCCGCCGCCAACGGCAAGGCCACCACAACCAGTCTTGCGGGAGGGACTCCGTCCCCGCCACCAGGTAAGAGTGCTCAGGTCCTCGAGACCATCGTAGAGCACGTGGACGGGGCGTTCGGATAAAGACAAAAGACTTACACTGGGGATAGAACAAAGGCTGGCCAGCCCGTCGCCAGAAGCAAAAGCTGCCGAGAGAGTGCGACACTCGCTGATGCTCCTGGAACAGTTCCGGAAGCCGTATTGAAAGAATTATATGCGTGCTCTGGATTCTGGGGGTAACCGTTGTTATTATTCGTTAGTTCTGGGACGGTGTTGAGGATAGATGGTATCACGTTCGGACGACTATGGAGGAGTAGGAGGCGCGTTTGCTGTTCTCTTGGCCAAACCTTGGCTTCCCTGTGTATATATGCATGCGTAAAAGCAAGACCACATCGTAGGGAGCTAGCTCTACGTCTGGAAATATGTTATTATTAATACCCAAGAAACATCGGTGTGAAATTATGATTTATCGTGCAGGCTCGAGTGCTTCGTCTTAGTACAGAAGTGTGTTCGTCCAGGTCTATGTAGTGGTAATTCACGATAAAGGGGGCTAATAAATAAGTTAGGTTGATGAATGGCATAGCCATTGATGATCCATATTCTTGATACATAAATGGATATATCCCAATAGCTTGTAGACATATCCTTAGGTGTATCGAACGGATTGATTAGTATATACGGTCTGTAACTTGTCGTCCGAAGTTGGAGTTCTGGTTTGCGGTTTGCGCATCTCGCGCATCTCGCGCATCCTCCAAACCCAGGGGGTGATGCAATAGGGCAGAAAAGGTACCATAGCGGGAAGATGTGGGTACGAAGGAATCGACTCTGAGAGGTTGAGATCTTAAATCGGTTCAATAAAAGAGTGGGACTGGAAGTGGGATTTCCGAATATGTAAGTCTAAGTCCAACTGCGCTTGCTGCGTGGTGTTCGCGTGGGACGGGGTGAGTTACAGCACAGTAGTGCCTGAATCTTGGGGAAGCACCAATGCTAAATGCCCAGGATGCTTTGGCGTACCTACATCTACATACCTACATTAGGTACCTATGTACCTATGTAACATACGTCCCATGTCCCCTATCAAAGCCAATATCTTAAGCTATTTTCCCCTGCCCGGCTTCTCCCCCCCATAACCTTGGTAGCTCTCGATGTCTGTTAATCAATAATCAATGCTATTGCGCCCATCCGAGGTAGTATCCTATCGAATATTCTATCGAATATTTCTTCGACAATACCTCCTCGCATGTTAATCTCTTCATTTTCCCACTTGCCATGGCCAAAAAGGCGCGTCAGAGGATAAGCTATGGTTCGTTATTTCTATTAATCCCGTCTTCTCTTTAATTGACCTACCTTACACTTCTAAGTTCCCTCTCTCCTCCCTCCTCCTTCCTCTTAGTCTCCTCTACCCGTTGATCTTTGCCCGCCCCCGCATAGTTGAATGGTCACCATCTTATTATCCACTCCAACTTTATCGTCACGTCTTGCTATACGGTTAAGTGAAATGGGTTAAAATAGGGAGACACTTTTTTGACTCTATCCTATCTGACTTTATCCTAACAACTATATCGCATCTCAGTTCTTGAACTTGACCATTCGTCATCCGGCGGCCATAGACTCGGTGTAAACGGCCTTGCAGTAGACCGAGACAACGCTATCCTGTAAGCTTCCGGCTGCTGTCATGCGATCACGTCCCGTCCCGTCCATTAACTTTATCGCATAGCTACTCGGGAGGCAGAGATGGAGTTATCTGCGCCTGGGATCTGAACCTTGATCTAAACGGTTATTCGGATCGAGGGCGTGCGTCTAGCCAAAATGCAAAACACCAACAGACTACCAAATTCCGCGCATCGACCCAAGCTCACACACACTGGGTCAATGACATCGTTCTCGCTTCCAACAATTCCGCCCTCGTCTCTGCATCTTCCGATCTGACTGTAAAAGTATGGCGACCCGAACTTGGGGATACCGAACCCCACACCATCGGCCAACATGCAGACTACGTCAAGTGTGTTGCGACACCAAGTTCCGCAGACTGGGTCGCATCTGGTGGCCTTGATAGAAAGATATATCTCTGGGACCTCAATGGCAAGGGGAAGTCCCTGGAAATCGACGTTAGAGGCGAAGATGTCAGCGAAAAGGCTTCCGTATATGCTATGTGCGTCAGCCAGAATATTCTAGCCAGCGGGGGCCCGGAGTCAATAGTACGGTTATGGGACCCCAAGTCGGGGAAGAGGATCACCAAGCTGGTTGGCCATACCGATAATATCCGTGCTATATTAATGAACGAGGCCGGCGACACCGTCATGACCGCTAGCTCCGACCAGACCGTCAAAGTGTGGAGCGTCACCGCCGGCAGGTGCATGTATACGCTTACTATGCACAACGATAGTGTCTGGTCGCTATTTTCTGAAGATCCCGAGCTGGCTGTTTTCTACAGTAGCGACCGGTCTGGCCTTATTGTCAAGACGGACACTAGAGGGACCGTGGAGATGGACGAAGGCCTATCAGTGGCCGTAGCTCAGGAACACGATGGGGTCAACAAACTAGTGGCTTGTGAGGACTACATATGGTCGGCTACCTCGAGCTCTTCTATTAATAGGTGGACGAATGTTGATACCGGCATCGATGCTCTGCTCCCAGAGGCGTTCAGACACTTGCGGGCTATTAATACAGTTTCGAGATCGAGAAAGTCTTCTGCGGCATCTGCAGACGGACAAGGAAAAAACGAAATTCCGGCTAAGGCGGTCTTACGAATATCCAACACTGCAGCTTTCCCGCCGGAACTCAACGATACTTCTGAGCCCAATTTGATGACTAGCGCGGCGTCTAAAAAAGGCTCGGAGGTTCATGATGACACCGTTGTCCCTGAAATTGAGCCTATACATCACTTACCGGAAGAAACCATCGAAGGGCAAAATGGATTGGTGAAACATAGACTCCTTAACGACCGACGACGAGTATTGACTCTTGACACTGCTGGTGATGTATTGCTGTGGGATCTGATTAAGGTAGGCTCTCTTTGCGTGATATAGGAGTCTAGCTAATTAGAAGTAGTGCGAAGTTATTCAAAGATTCGGAAAGAAACATCTTGAGGATGTTGAACCTGAAGTAAATACTTTGGAAGCTGTTGCTCCTTGGTGTTCAATCGAGACAAGTTCTGGCAACTTGACTGTCATACTGGAGCCTTTTAATTGTTTTGATGCTGAAATGTATGCCGATGAGCTTATTTTGATAGAGCCCGTCGAATTCCGAGAGGATCAGAGAAGTATGATTCACGAGAGTTTCATTATAAGGCAAATGCTAACGCTTTGAAGTAAACCTTGGGAGGTGGATTCTTCGATATTTGTTTGCGAAGTTAATCGACGAGGAAATCAAGCGAGATGAGATCTATAGATTGCAACTCAATGAGGGCGTGGAGAAACGTCAGACAGCTTCTCGGCTAAACCCGCCGATATCAATAACTATACCTACCTCGAACACGCAAGGGTGGCAACCCAGCGATTCTCCAGCGACAACCCCAAGAGCGAACGGAATTAGTCACCCATTAAGCCCTGGGTTGGCAATTGGCGTAGCTACTCCGGCTACCAACTTGGCGGTAGGGGGTTTCGAGAATACAGCTGTACCTGCCAGTCCTCTTGAAAAGCCATCTCAGCAGGTGAACCGATCGTCTAGTGAAGACTACTTCTCTAGCGGCATCAGCTCAGCAGACGCCCCTGCAAAAGCGGTGACGACCCCGGGCGCGGCGGAGCAGGCACCTGCTAAAGAAGAAACATCAAGGTCTCCGGTAGAGACTAAAGATAAGGAGAAGGATGTTAAATCTCCCAGTACGCCCTTCAGCAAGAAATTCCGAATGGGCATGTCTTTCGGGAGTAAGAAACTGGGAAGATCAGCATCTACTAACATCGAGAAACCTACCGTTACGGAAGATAAGACAGAAGAGAATAAGTCGGAATCATCCTCAAACCACGAAAAAGAGATTGACGATAATCTCCGCGGTGTTGTCCAAAAGATCCACAACGACTATGAGAAGCAGCTGTTAGAGACCCCGAATAGCCCGATCGAGACCAAGATAACGCCGGCTCTCCCCATTGATGCACCGGTACTTAAGCTCCCGCCTGGTACAAAGGTTATCATCCAAGAAGAGACATCAGGCGGTAGTGCCAACTTGTATAGGGGCACGGTGATGAGTGTCGGCGTTGACGCAGATATCATCGAAGAGAAAGCTCCGATGTGGTTGGGCGAAGTCCTACTTACAGTACGTGCCGTTTTCCTTATTGTTATAGAATTGTTATAGAATCCCAACTGACCCAGACAGAACACGATTCCGCAGAAAGAGCCGGTTAAGGTCTCGTTCGTACTGCACCCTTGGAAGGATTCGTTACCTAGTATTGCGACCACGGATGGAAACAACCGTCTCAATGCGAATAGAATGTTAAGGGTAAAGAAAATCCTGGCCTATGTGGCTGAGAGGATCGACCCGCAGCCCGAAGAGCTCGAGCCCGACGCCCTCAAACCTGAGGAATACTTGGAATTGTATTGCAACGATCAGGTATGTGCCAACATGAGTGTGTGTGAAGCTAAGATGCTGACCCACAAACTTAGCTACTACCAAACACCATGAGCCTTGCAACACTGCGAGCCCACATATGGAAGGGAGGTAACGACGTAGTTTTGTATTATAAGGCGAATGGCCGCAAGGAGATTCCGAAAGAGCTCCCACAACCGACACTTGATGACCCCGCGGTATCCGATCCTGGAGGGCAACAAATGCCACCCATAGCTACCGTAAGTTGATGAATTTGGAATTTGACAGGAGGGAGGGTATCATCCATTGTGTCTATGTCCGGTAAATCTAAAAATGGGGTATTCTCTATCGTCTGTTGTACATACTCTCTCCCGTACCGCTGTCTTGGAACGCGGCTACTGGTATATACCCCCCACGAGTTATATACAGCGAGGACTGTCCTGTTCAGTCTCGATCTCCTGCATTTGTTCATCTAATTGCGGTCGTCACGTGGATATTATGACTGTTATAAGACGTTTCCTTGTAGGGCATTTACAGCCCATTGGTAACTCCCGAGGAATATGGCGCCGCCGGCGCTAATCCACATAACCCTAGGCCCTATGCCGGCGAAGAAAGGTCGTATCCCATGACTGGATAGTAAATCTTTCAGCACGACAAAGACGCTCTCGCGTTCCTTAGATAGCATAATCCGGGTCTTAAGAACATCCAGCGGCGTCGTGACACCCGCCGCTACAGCACCAGATACACTGCCATACAGCGCGCTCTCGCCCGCGCCCACCTCCACATTTCCACTACCTAGACCTTTCCGCCGCCGGCCCCAGCCCTTCAGCGCCTCCCACAATGGGAACTGGATCACGGTAAACGGCACCTCGCGCATCACGGTGATGCCCCACCCCCGGTATAATTCCCGCCATACCCCCGCCAACCCTATGTCCCGACGCTGTGATAATATCGCGCCCAAGGCCGCGGCGCTCGAGCCCCCGTGCAAACCGGCCTGCGCGCGCTGCTTCACCACCTCGGTCGGCACACGGACGGCGCAAGCCGCGACCTCGCCCAGGCTCGCCGCGAGCATGTGCTCCAGGGGGGCTTCCCAGGTGTTCCGGCGTATAGGATCGCTGTTGCCGGTCGGCCCGCGGCGCCTGTCGGCAAGCACGCCCTTGACGCCCTCGTAGGTGCAGAAGAAAAAGGCGGCGCCGGGCGCGCTGCCGACCAGGGCGCTCCCGACGCCCCGGTATATGCCCCGGAAGCCGCCGGAGGGGAAGAAGCCGTCGCGCGACTGCAGGCGGGTCTTCAGGGTGTCGAGGGGGAAGAGAGAGAGGTCGACGGTGGTGCCGGCTATGCCGCCGGCGAGGAGGGCCGTGGCGAAGGGGGGTTGGGACGACATTGGTGGTGGTGGTGGTATTGGTGGTATTGGTGATATGTGGCGAAGTTGGAAGAGTGAGAAGGGGAGGTTTGGTTTGGTTTAGGTAGGTAGGTAGGTGCAATACTGAGTCTCTTGACTACCTAACTGCAAACTGTTACGTAGGTATGTATGTAGGTAACCTAGGGATGTATAGAAATATTAAGGCCGAAGCCGGCAGAGAGCTAGTGTAGCGTCCATTGTTTGATGTAAGGATGTAAGGATGTAAGGATGTAAGTCGGAAGGTGGGATAGCGAAGAAAACTTATCGGCGTATGTACCTAGGTTAGTTAAGCTTATTGATAGTGGGTTAGGACCCTGTCTAGAGATTATCGATAAAGCTATCGATAAATATACAGATATTATGCAGTAGCTCCCGAGTTATGTTAACCTAATAATAGTTTTGTCGATTAGTTAATGAGTTTACCTTTCCCCCCCCCTTTCTTGTTAGGTTTTTACTCCAACAACTTCATCGTCGTAGCTGGGAAGGGAATATAACATGTAAGTGTAGAATGGAATGGGCACGCTCCACCATGTTCTGCATACAAGCACGAGGGCGATTACCGTCCCCGAGTTCATGGACGCCGTGCGCGCCACTTGTACTCCTCGGTTCCCCTATGCCAGAGGGACGAGCCATAGGCGAGTTGGTGAGTTTTAAAATCATAACTATACTCTTAATGGTACCGGCAATCCTAACAGCCTTAATAGCCATAGCTGTGAGTGGGGGCGTCGATTCTATGGCCCTTGCATTTCTCTGTTCTCAAGTACGCAAGATAGACCCCGACTTCAAGATCTCTGATAATCCTGTATCTGGATTTCGGAGCATCGTCGTCAACCATGGCCTCCGCCAGGGGTCTAGAGAAGAGGGTCTCGCTGTCCTTAAGGTTCTCAAGGACATGGGTTTGGTTGATGAATTGGTTACCATTAATTGGACCAAGATACTTGGCGATTCTCAGCTTCCAAAGGACTTGCCCAACTTTGAGAGCGTCGCGCGCACTCAACGGTACAGGAAGATTGGAGCCGTATGCGCCTTTCGAAACATCGGTAGTCTTCTTCTAGCGCACCACGAGGATGACCAGTATGAGACCGTCCTCATGCGCCTGTTACAGGGACATGGCATTCGTGGCCTACGCGGTATAAGGGCAGCCTGCGACATTCCCGAGTGTCATGGCCTTTTCGGTGCTGATAAGAGTGGTTATGTGGATGATCAAGCTCGCAGCTTTCCTTTTTATAACCTGAACCCTACTAGAAGAGAGCGGAAGCATATGCGACGAGAATTTAAGAATGCTATTAGTAACCTCATGGCTGAGGAGGAAACGGATGACTGGGCCTCGACTGACTTTGATATGAAGGAATTCTACCAAACGAAGGACATTCCAGTATTTGCACCTAAAGACCTTGCCGTCGAAGATGGTGGAGTTACCGTCTACCGACCCCTGCTGGAATTCAGCAAGGACCGTCTGATCGCAACTTGCTTAGAGAACAAGGTTCCTTGGTGGGAAGATGCCACCAATACGGATCCTTCACTTACGATGAGGAATGCTATCAGGCACCTATACAAAGGCTATACCCTTCCTAAGGCTCTACAAAAACCAGCGATCCTTAATTTCTCCAAGAGGTGTGAGCGGAGAGTCCAGGCTCAAGAGGCTGAGGCGAACAGACTGCTGAGACGGACCATTATTCACGATCTTGAGCTGCTTGCCGGAACTGTGACGGTCCAATTTCCGAAATTGGAGTTTCGTCTAGCGAGGAGAGATTCCCGCTCGTACTTGCGACACCGAGCACAATTGCTGAAGAAAAGGCAGATTGTCGCTATCCTTATACGCAAGATTATCTTGCTAGTCAACCCAGAATCACAACCATCGCTTCTCTCGACCCTCGAAAATCACGTTACGCGCCTCTTCCCGTCACTTGCTCTCCCCGAAGAGCTACCCGTGGCGACACCTCCAAAGGCATTTAGCATTTCCGGCGTTTATCTCGTACCCGTTGAATCTAGCCCTAGCGGACCAGCCTCCACGGGGGCAGCAAATCGACAACTAAGCTGGTATCTTTCGCGCGCGCCATACCCCTCAATACAACCGCTTCCAAGCTTCCGCACGCCGTACTGGGCTATTAAGCGCAACAAAAAGGGGCGATGGCTGATGTCTAGTTGGATAGATTGGGTGCTATGGGACGGTCGGTATTGGTTCCATATCAAGCACCGATTTCCCTATCGCGTGCTCGTCTTGCCATTCTTAAAAGAACACGCCAAAGCCTTTCGCGAGCAACTCCCGCCTGAAGACCAGAAGCGGCTAGCTACACTCCTCAAGCGCTACGCCCCGGGTAAGGTCAGATACACTATCCCGGCTTTCTACCTCGAAGAGCCTCTCGGCCTCCTCGACATGGAGAACACCACCCCGCGGCCCGGATACCCAATGCTCCCATGGAAAGTGGTGAGTACGGATAGTAACAGCAGGGATAATGAAGGCGGGACCGAGAACGAGAGCGAGAGCGAGAGCAACAAAAAGCAAGAGCCATATTCTATGCATCCCACGATCCTAGATACTTCGAAGATAAAGCTGCTTGCTCTTCCCACGCTGAGGATCCAGCTCCCAGCGCTCGACAACTGGATGGCGTATGAGACACGGTATAGGAAGATAGATCGCCAAACATTGCGGACGGCGGGGACGTTTCATAGGGGCTCGTTTGCAGGGCCGCGAGCGAGCACTTTGCGATGGCCGAAGAAGGGGTCAGAGATGAAGGCGCGTAGATGTTTGAATAGACGACGAGATAGAGGTGGAAGCTGAACCGGCTTGTATCTCGCGTCTAAGATAGTATATAAATGTATGAAAATATTATATAAATACACGTACTATACTTCACATCATCTATAATTGCGATTTTCGTTGTCTCTTTGCACGGCGAGTTTTACGTAGATCTATTCCCCGATCAATGCCTCAACTTACCTATGTAGACACACCACACTCCTATTATTATACTCACCAAAACGCAACCCCTAAAGAATATCAAGACTCAATGACTAATGCATTATTAAAAAATCGATTTGGTATCATGCAATGCACAGCTAGCTAGCCTCTATACAGCGAGACATACACATACAAGGTATCTTCCTACCTTTCTGTAGTACCTACCTAGTCATATGGTACACGGCAATACCAGCGAAGTGAATTCCACGCCCTTCCCAGACGCCTGTCTATATTGATGCGGTTCCCCTTGGTAATCCACTTACATCATCACGGCTGGGGGTCCATAGACAGATAGACAGACAAGACAATGTAACTCATCAGTAGAAGTACACTTAAAGAGTCTCGTCTTATCCCATCTCTGCATATGCATCCCGCCCGTTTCGTCCATGCTAGAACTCTTTCTTCCGCCTAATACACACCAATAATTGGGACACCTCAGAAGACCCTACTCTTCCATTCTCTTCCAACCTCCGGTTCCGTCATTCTACTAAAACGCCGCACCTCCAACCCCCTCGCCCGCAAACTTCTTCACGCTGTTCTCACTGAGCTCTATTCTCAGTTCCAAGACCTTAGCCTCCCTTTCAAACTTATCCCATAATGCCAAGCTCTTTCTCAACTTCTCCTCCTTAACATACTTTTCCGCACGCAACTTCTCTTCTTCCTCCTTCAGCTGCAGCGTGTGGGCCTGGAGCTCGGGCATCACGCCTGTTGTCATGGCGAGGTAATGAGGGTCCATCTTACCTCCGGGAACGATAGGTGGTAGAGTCGCAAGAAGTTGCTGCGCTAGGCTAGGACGGGTACTCTCAGCGGCTGGGCCCTTAGGTGGGTTGAAGGGTTTGGCTTGGTTAACGGGGGTTGTGGGAACGGATTGCGAAGATGGGCCTGCTCGCGGGCCGGTGGGGATGGTATTAGAGATTGTTGTCGCTGAGGCAGGAATGGGACCTGTGGCTGGTGGTAGATTACGGCTTTGAATCGTACTACCCCAGCCGAGTCCTCCTCGACCACCTCGACCATAGCCGCCTCCTCGTGTGGCGACGTAGCCTCTAGGACCTGCCGGCGGGGCACTAGGGCTGATATCAGGTCGACTTGCTACTGCGGGCGCGGCTGGAACTGGTCTGGGGGGCGGGCCTATAGCCCCGACGGACTGGCTCCCGTAAGCGCGAGTATCTCTGGGGCCGGTGGGAGGTGCTCGGAGAGCGGCAGGACCACGCGGAGGGGATCTAGGTGGAGCACTAGATTCTTTCGGAGTTCCCTGTGGACTTCGATCTCTAAGTGGTACATTATGAGAAGATCTAGACAAAGGTCTGGAGGGTATGGGAGACTGCGGATGTGATCGATCATCGCGACGAGGAGGAAGAGGGTGGGGCGAAGATCTACGGGATGTGTCCCGAGACGGAATTGCTGAAGAGATTGCAGAGTCGCGTGGCGGGGAAGGACGTCTGCTATGCGAAGGACCGTAGCGATCGTCTCGTCGATCCGGGCTGCGGGTGCGGGCTCTGTAGGTACTAGCCCTCGGGATGGGCGGGGGTGAACGTCGGAGAGGCGACCTATCTCGGACGCGGTCTCTGTCGAAGGGAGATCTCGATCTCCGTCTGTATGGAAGACTTGTTAGGGGTATAAGATTAGGATTGTTAATCTGGGGTGGTGGTTGGAACCTTGCGTCATAGCCCCTTCGCGGAGATCGCAAACGATCTCTATCATCCCGTCTTGGTGAGAACCTGCGTGGTGGCGGACTTCTTCGAGGCGGACTACGTCGGGGGGGAGACCGTCGTGGAGGGCTTCGGCGAAGACTACGGCTCCTATCGCGTCGTCTCCAGCTGTCGCCCATATCTCTAGTATCTCGTCGGTCTCTGGAAAGGTCTCGGCGGTAGCGATCAGCGCTTCGTGAGCGACGTCGTGGGGATCGACCGGGCACATAACGATCACTATCTAGAAGTGGTGGGCTACGGCCTCTTGGAGGGCTTCTAGCCCGGCGCGGAGACCGGTTGGAATTGAACGGGCGGTACGATTCACCAGCGCCATATCTAGTGACTTCCCCGTCATCGTACCTATAGGGATAATTTAATTAGCACCCTATGTCTCTAGCCATTTCCGAAGCAGGTCACGACGGTTGAGCTTTACGATCTCACAGTAGGAATGATAACGATATAATCCGAATAAAGATCAATCCTACCTTCTACTTCGTGAATCGCGATCCATCCCCCGATGAGCAAACGCGCCGTAATCGCGTGGGTCAGACCGTGGTGCGAATAAGATATCTCCTCGAGAAGAAGCCACAGATGGAAAGAGTTCAACTGCTTCGGAGGGATTGTTTGTATGAGATGTATCTTGCAGAGAAGTCCTAGTTTCGAATTCCTGGTTTGGGCCTTGTTGGGAGCCCTGGGCGGGTTGAGGATTAGGCGGGAGGTTCTGTTGGATAGAATGGGAGGGTAGTGACTGGTGCCAATTGTTCTGTACTGGAATTCTTCGGCGTCTTGTAGGCCTTGCAGGGGCATCTTTACGAAAACGTTGATTTCGATCCATGTTGACCAATAGTAACACCTTGATACCGGAGCTTTAATCTGCCTATCGCCGCCTGTACTCACCGGAAGCCTAAGAGCTAGGTATTGTACTATAGCAGATTAGGTTAGGCAGGTAAGGGGCAACCTTAACGGATCTAACCTAAGCTAACCCCTGGGTCGATTGAGTAAAATGCGAATGGCATTAGTGAAAGCGAAGAATCGAATGGACGAGATGCACGTAAAGAAGTTGCAAGTATACTGATAAGTAGATGTAATTGGCTGGTGGTTTTGCAAGTGGGTTAAGTGGAAGCTTTCAAATGGAAAGGAGAGAAAAAAAATGAAAGCTGTTTAAAAGAGAACTTTTGCGACTTTGGTAGCTGCAACCTAAGAGGGAAATGTACCTACCTAAGGCAGGCAGGTACGTTGTGGTATTGCTCACAACATATGCAACAGCCAATATGCTACTGAGGCTTTCTTGCCGTTGCGTAGCGGAAACAACCTTAGGTAGTTCAGGTTAGTTAGGTACTTTTGAAACCCTGATACTGATAAGGACAGCCAATGCATTTGTAGCCTCTTAATCTCATAATCCCCTACGTAGAAAAATGAAAGCTACATGTACGGAATCGTTGCCTACATGTAGTCCGCAACCACCTCTTTAGTAAACAAGTACTTCCTCTTCGCACCTTCGCACCTTCGCACTCTTCGGTTTGATATATACAACGAGCTACACTAGACAGCTACAATTATTCTGAACTTCGGGAACCTATTTCTCGTCCTCGGTGGTATTGCCACTTCCATCTTGACTACACCTCTCGCCGATGAATTGATACACCTCTTTCGCGTGTGCTTCCATCATCTGGTTGAGCCCAACTTCCGGGCTCCTGTGTACCCCCCCGAAGCGTTTCTTTAGAACCTTCTTTGCCAGATCGGTGTCCTTCCAACAGGCATGATCGTTTGTGACATAGACTAGCGAGTTCTGTTTATACCAGCTCGATAGCTCTGGGTCAGTTTCCGATTTCACTGGCCGCAGGTTACCCGTTACGAAATTAATCACCCCCGCGATTCGATTTTTGCAATCTGCAGCCTTGTCAGTACCAAAAGTCCCTTTATAATGACTCTAGTCTCTGTAATTACCTCTATTTGTCAGGAGGACCTTAACCCCTAGGTATGCATTGCCTACGCCTACGATGAACAAGTCTTCCACATCGTAGAGCTGAAGATAGTTATCCCATATGTAGCATACTAGTTCCTGGATCTGCCGTTGCAAAGTCTTCTCGTCTGCACGGGGAGTAAACGCGTCGATGTCCTCGGAATGAGTAATGTAATGGGGAATATTGGCGTCCATAATACCAAAGTCGTTCTTGTGAGCCCACTCGATATAAGACATAACACCATCCAACTACCACATATTAGCGTTTGCTCTCGTAATTTGAACAAAGCCCACTTACGATGAAGCCATTATGGGGATCAACTGTGTTGTCGATAATATCCGGCATTGCCTTCAACTCGGGACTGAGTAGTCTGTCAGCGGAGATAACGGAAGTTTTGGGCATAATACTTACGGATCGTGAACGACGAATACGATTTTTTTCCTGGCTTGCAATCCCGGCGTGACAAGAACCTGGTTCTCAAACGACTTGTAGAGGACTTCCCTTTGAATGAAGAGGGGAACCATGGCATACTTATCTGACAGTATCTGCCGCTGATAACCTCGAATAACGTCGTGTAAACGGGAAGTGTTATCTCCCAATTCTCGGACTTCGATTATTCCAGGTCTCATACATTCCCAGTAGGGAGCTTGGACAGCTTGAACCTTTGCTAAGAGTCTTGCTGCATCCTTGTTGAGGGGAGGTACGCCCATCTTTGGTGGCGGTTCTCCCATGAGTGTCCGGGCGACGGCTAAAGCTGAATTGGAAATTGCCTTCAAGTTATAGCCTCCTTCGAGGCATACAGCTACCTTTCCGCCGGCAAGGGACATTAGCATGTGCGTCATATGTGCGTAGCATGGTGGTGTGACAAAACATCCACCCAGCTCGTCACCATCGGCCGCATCAAAGCCGGCAGAGATAATTACCATGTCCGGGTCGAATTCGCGAGCAATGGGCATTACGATCTTTTGGAAAGCGGCGAGGTATTCGCCATCGCCCATGCCTTGAGATGGCCAGCCAATGTTCACGTTCTTGCCTTTGCCTGGACCTTCGCCGACTTTGTCTATATCTCCGTCGGGTATCATATCGTTATCTGGTTTTCCTGGGTAAAAGTTACCATCTTCGTAGACGTGGAGGGATATATATAAGACATTCGGGTCTTCGTAGAAAATGTTCTGAACGCCATTTCCGTGATGAACATCCCAATCCAGGATGAGTATCTTGCGGCAAGTGTCTGGGTACTCGTCTTGACAGACTCTGGCACCGATAGGGACGTTGTTAAAGAGGCAAAACCCCATAGGTACATCACACTCGGCATGATGACCTGGTGGCCGAATAATAGCGAATGCGTTCTTCACTTGCCCAGAAGCAACATTCTTACAAGTCTCCACACAACCTCCCGCTGCAAGTAGTGCTGCTTCATAAGACATACCACCTACGTATAGAGAGGCCCTCCCTTGATCCAACTTATGGCTCAATGATCGTAACTCTCTAGTCGACATCTGGGAGAGATTTTGAACCCAGTCATAGTGCCTTGGGGTATGTACCGTGCAGATTTCCTGCTTCGTAGCTGGACGAGCTGGAATCCTCCACATATATTTGGTTGGAGCTTCTCTTAGGATGTCAAGAAGATCGGAATCGGGACCCGTGAAAACGAGGCCAGCTTTCTTAAACATCTTCATGATCTCCTCGATTCTCCTCGGGTCTTCTGGATGGTGTGGTGAGGGTCCAAAATCGGCATTTGCATGGAGCTTCATTCTGTCATCGTAACAGCATCCCGTGGGCAGCATACCTAACCGACGCATAGATTTTATTGTTTCGTCGGTTTCACTGAATTCTTCATTCTCGTCTATGTCCAGGTTCATACCGTTCGTAGTAGGAACGTCGCCGTCTTCCTGCCTTGTCACAGCGACGACGTGGGACTCGTCAAAGTCATTAGGCGCATCAGTCATAGACTGGTCCTCACCTTCCATGTCGGCGTTAAGCCTAGCCGAGTCGAAGGCGCGGCCCTCCACCCGGCAAATCTCAAGTAGTGTTTGCCAGACTAGAGAAAAAAACACGACTGCCGGCTTAAGTCAACAGATTGTTGAGCTTTACCAACAGCACCGCCCAGCCGTGAGAACTCAGGACAGTACCACGGTAGTTGGCGTGGATAGGTCTAAGCCTGGCAAGCGAGATCTGGTATAGATTCCTTGAAGGAGTGGATGATTCACATGTCCATAATAAGTTGTGAGGTTATTGCCAAAGATAATGAATGTTGACAATGATCTGTTAATTTGTCAGCTGAGAATGTATATCTCGATGCACGAAAATGTTGTCAAGAATCAGGAGAGTTGAGATGAAGTAAGAAAAATAGCAATGTGATGGAATTAGCTAGGTTAGATGCTCTTGATACAGGACTTATACGGCAAAGCATAAGTTAAGATTTACTTGATGATTCTAAAGGGAGCTTCGATGGATCGATCCAAAGAATAGTTTCTTAATTCGGGTCTTCGTGTCCTTCTTGCGTATTAAATATTCTTACTACACGAGAAAATAGCTCTATTTTAAGGATAATACAGTAAACATAGAAAATATAGAGCGGAGTGATGGTGTACTTACTTACGCTGGACGAACGTTGCTTGCTTGCTTGCTTGCTTGCTTGCTTGAACAGCTCACGTACTACTTTACTTGACGGGAGTATGAGACGATGCACCTCAGCGTCTCCGCAACGAGGGATAGACTTCCGCAACGATGAAAACCCTCCGAAACCGTTAATTAAAAGGTTTCCGATGAGTTCTGGTGACCTCTCGTAGTGATTTAGGTATGCTTGGTGTGGCTGGTAGGTGGTACCATTAGATGTTATTTAGTATGTTATTGATTTATTGATATGCTATGGTAAGTAAACTTGCCTAGGTCAGGTCAGTAGGTTAATCTTTTTGGTAAGTTCCAAAGTTGGGGCGCGGCGTATCGGATCCAGATAACCCCGTTTTTAACACAGACACCTGTATTTAGGTACCTCCATAGGTGCTACTTGCCTACCTCATATATGTATATCAGGAATTCAATTTATGTAGGTACGATACATAAGATAGATACCTTTATTTACACATGCACTTTCCAGTAACTACACCAATTTATTTGACCTATAATGAAGTAGGTACCTACACAGATAAGATATTAAGGCAGGATGAAAAGACCTGGAATTACGAAAACGCAATGTATAATAGCAATTAGTACTAGTGAAAATTACATCGAACTCGTCTGTTTAACTACAGTACAGGAAAGTCTTGGCTAGCTCCCTATGCTTGCTTTCATGCTTCCGAAGATCTGAATAGAATAGGTACCTTCGTAGAAATCGTTTGAGACAGCACAGTATCCAGGTGACCAGATACTTATACCTCTAAACGTGTAAAGGGAAAATCAAATAATGTGAGACTAATACGCATTCGTCTCAAACTGACTACACTCTTCTTTCGTAGGATGCTGTGATATCGGGTAGCGTAACTCATATAGACCCGAAATCCTCATCTCGTGCCCTGAGACCGTCGATACTACAGGGTGTGAAGAGCAGAAAACCCAGAGAAGGAAATTAATCATAAGAAAGAAAAAGCAAAAGACCCTGTATAATATACAGGCCGAGAGAGGAGACGCCTCGTGCAATGCACATGTAACAACCCCCATAGTTCTTCGCAGCGGTTCAGAAGTAGTAGGCTTGAGCAGTATTACAACCACTGCCCTTCAGTTATCTCCTGTATAGGCTGTGTGGTAATTATCCTATTCTGAGCTACTCCGTGGCAAAAGGAGAGTTCGGTGGTAGGACTTGGGAGGGGGTAGGAGCCATTTGCAATTCGACAATGGTCTTCTTGCATCGGCGGCACCGACGACGCTGATCATGACCCTAGAATGGAAAAAGCGTCTCCGTGCCATCGTCTCCTCGGGCGACAATCGATGATGAATCGAATGGGAAAGTGAGAACATGGTCTGGGAGCGGTGGTACCCGTCCATCCGGCCAGGCGTCGTCAAGCCATTTGGACTTATGTAAGTCGCTTCGTCGATCCTCGTCCAAAATTCCAAATTGCGGCATATCTGCCCAGGACTGCACACCCCTGAAGATCTTGCGTTCCCCGAGAACTTTACTCAGTGAAATAGACAAGGTCTCGGAATCGCGAGCAAAGTTCGGTTCTATGTCGGACAGTGAACTGATGGTAACGGACCTCTTCCAGTTCGCGTAGTGGCTAAGATAATAACGAAGCTGCTCGGGATCAAGCTTCATATAAGTCTTGACAATTTTCGCGTGGCGACGGCCTTCGCCAGCTCCCCAAGGAACGAGCTCGACGCTATATCCTTGCTATAGATCAGTTAGTAAGTATATTTCGGTAGCATCTAATCTGGGACGAAGACTTACCTTACAGTGGCAAACTTTCTCGGGAGATGAACAGAGGTCCTTGCTCACTGTCTCTTTTACCAAACGCCAGAGACGCCAAAGCTCGTTGATTTCGCTTGTCGGCATAAGCCGAATATGGTGGAGTCGAGTATCAACTGTCCACGTACTCGGCTGAAAAGCGCTGAATCTGGTAAATGCGTTTCCGTGGTGATATTTCGCGTATAACCACCAGCGAGCAACAGCCTTTCTCACCCGGACTACCTCGCTACCTCGTAGACAGCGACGATCGTCCGAATTGTCCCTCCAATGAAGTCTGGGGTATTTTTCAACCCACCAGTCAATCACCTTCGCCATGTTCCAAATTTGCTCTATATCCTGGATCGCGAGTGTAAACTTTGGGACCTTCAAGGGCCGCCTGCTTGGAAACTCTTGAGAGGCGCTACCGAGTTCCATGAGGCTTATAGTGAAATCCTCGCGAGAATAGTCGATTATACGGGGACAGAGCATAAGGTCCATATGGGACTCGTCTTTGCGAGCGGTGTAAATATGAAGAAGGATGTTGATCTCGGGCAGACGTTGGAGGACAGTGATCAGAATGGACTCCTTGTTTCTTTTGAATACAAGGAATAGCCGTCGGCTCGAAAGAGCAAAATTTGAAGCATCCGAGGGAGATAGGAGCTCCATGGTTTCGAGTATCAATTCATTAGGCATGCTATACAGCAGGGGTTCGCCGGAAGGCTGGAGGGTAACATTGGTGGATGGCATGTTGAAGTATGGACTTATTCGCAGATTTGAGTTTTAATATGTGGATGGAATTAATGACCAACCTCAGTGGATGATGTACTAGGCTTCTGATTGAGCTGTAACGAAATAGCAGGAACCTCTTGGACACCTCTAGATGCGACCGAAGTACCACTTTTGCAATGCGAAACCAGGATAGGCGAAAAGGTTGTAATGATTTTGCTGATATCCTTAGTGAAAGCTGCACAAAGTCCAATGGGGGAATTCCGATTGAGGTTCCTTGAGTAATAAGAAGCCAGCAATGTGCAATATGTATCAAACCGAGAAGGCTATGATTCGTTGATACTGGTTCCGCGAATGACCTAGATGCCTTGGGGTGCAACCAGAGTCGAGTTTTGGCGACTGTAGGATCTCCTAAGAGATCTATGCGTTCTCAAACTAAACAGGCCAAGCATTCAAAAGGCCTCCAAGCTCTATATGATGCCACTGTAATGAGTAGGAGAATAGAGAGACAATACTGAAGTAGTAGAGTGGGCGGTGCGAAGGCAGGTGTAAAATCAGTAGGGATAAACAAATAAAAGAGGTGGCAGTAAGAAAAGCATTAAATCTGGGAAAGTAGCAGTAGGAGATTCTGTAATAGAACTATTTTGCGGATACTCCCTGGCGATGACAAGTTTCCAGGCCGATTTGCGGGCCTGACAGTCGAAAATATCCAGGTAGCTTTAGAGGTAGTCAAGACGATTTAGTATCAACTACTTAGATACAGATTGACATAGACGAGGCCCTTTTATAGAACGAGCTGTTAAAATGCTGGGCAATCTCTACTAGCTATGAACCAGTTAGTGCCTATAAGTGATTCGAAAGTGATTGGGACTTACTCTAAACTGAGCTGTCTGAGGTATTATTCTCAGGGAGATCGACGGCAATGCAGTCTCTCCTTATTAGCAACACCGTTTGTGTGCTTAATGCTTCCCTCCACTTAAAGGCGTTTGTCCGACTAGTGAGAAGGAATTCACGTCTGATGTCCTCACGAGACGCAATCTCCTAACAATATATCGTTCTCTCCTCACACCTAGGAGTTGAGATTATTTGGCTCCTTAGCCAACCTGATACTAGGGCCTCGACAGATCTCTCTCTACCTGTCAGCACCTAATACCTCTTGGTCAACACGGGAGCAGAGAGCTATTCAACTCAATCCGCAACAACCCCTCCTTTGGGGCCATACTGAATGAGAATAATGAGCAGCTGAACCGCATGCCGCTGAATTGGGTACGCCATAAAGGCAGACTCATAGCGTGGTAGTTCCATATTGTTGCTTGATCAAAAACAAAAAGGAAGAAGTGAATTACGCGAGACCAACACGACTTCATATATGTACCTGCCTGATGTATCCCCCCTGTCTTTACTTCAAGTACAAGGTAGAGCTTCCATGGATATTGGTTTCGGGCCGAGGTTTTGCCTAGCGCGAACTCTGTTTAATACTCGTTTAGGTAACTGTACAGTGGTCCGAGCGTCTTATAGCATGGAGAAAGATCTATATAAAGTGCTAGGTTAGGTTATAGATTTAATATATTTACGAACTTAAGACATTTACAGGTAAGTGGTGTTGATTATAGTCATTATTGTTTTTAGACACTGTTGTTTTTGGATAGTAACGTAATAAATAATGATGGAAACTATTAAGGTGACTTACCTTAACTGATGCTAGAATAAGAATGCAAGTATGAGTTTCAGCAACAATATCATATAGTTAGAGAGTACCTAGTAGATATTCACTTCCTCATGATAGAGGCCAGCTATTGCAGGGTATTTTATTTCAGCTCAAAATTAGCATCTTTTGCTAGAGAATATCTGAAGATACCTGGGTGTCATAGGAACGCCAGAACGCCATTAGTAAGTTACAACATCTAAGCGAACAGTTCCTTCGTATCCAGCGCATCCACCGGAGCCTGCTTGCCATTCGTCCGCAGTCCCAGATCACTCTTCTTCGCGAGCCTCTCCACGTGCTGCTCCGTGCGACTGTTATGCTTCGTAGCCTGTCCCCTCCGCAAGTCGGCTCTGACCTGGTTCGGCGAGACGAACTCCTTGTTCTCGTAGATGATCGGCCCGCCGAAGGAACCTTCCTGGATGACGATAGGGGTGAGCACGAATCGCGGGCCAATTTCCACCATGCTGATATCGAGCTCCTTGTTGCGGCCTTTAGTAGGCTTAGATCCTACCTCCGTCTCCCCGTCTGGCACCTTCGGCGCCTCTGACTCCTTTACTTCGTAGTTGCGCACCCATATCTTTCCATCTGCGAATGTGAACCCCATAACGCGATCTACGAAGGGCTTGGATTTCCTCGCGCCTTGCGGTACACCGAATGTGTGGAGGAAAAGCTCCTTGATGACTTGTAAGTAAGGTTCCTTATCGAAGGCGGCATCAAAGGAGAGAATTGGTCTTGAGCCCTTCAAGCAGTTACCCGTGAAGTGCAGCTCTATAAGAAAAAGAGTTAGCAATGAGACATCCCCACTCGAGAAGAGGGTTGAAGAGGACATAAACAGAGTCTACCAACCTTCCATTGTATGTAAGTTCTGGAGGTGCATCTTGACCGTTGGGCCATTAGGAACCTTGCTCAACCACACGTACAAATCCTTGCCCTTGCGCGCCTCGAAGAACATCACATTGTTGCAGTTGTATAGTTCCGCAAGCTCGTTGAGCTGGTAAAGCTTCGACTTCGTGTCTAGTTTTGCGTCCTTCCGGCCATGAGGGAGCATGGACGCAAGGTCATTAAGTAAATGTCGATGCCTGCAAACAAAAGCTGTTAGATATTTCTCTGTGCAAGAGGTCACGAACCTGCGGGTTGCGAAAATACCTGTATGTGACACCTCTGGAAGATAATATTAAAACTCTTTGCTTATTCTTTCGGACTCCATTGGCAGGCGCTTCGGCCTTCTGGCTACTGGTCCCCTTGGACAACGACTTGTATACGGCTGCCATTGCTCGGTCAAGATTTGTGATGCTTAAAATAGTCGCTGGATAATGTCTTCAACTCAATTCAATCCGCGATTCGAACGGGAACTTTTTTTCTGCTAGGCTTATCGATAGATGATAGCGGGGCTGGGGCTAAGGCGCGTGGGCGTGGCTTGTGTTGTACCTATGATGATGTACCTTGTCTACGTAACTTCAATGGCCGACTGCCCGATTACATGTACGAAACCATGCCGGTAACCGTATCCATTCACGATCGCCAAGCGGCCAACAAGGATTATCTAAATAAGTTTCATATTAGGTATGATGAATTCGTTCGAGGTCGAGCTGTTACCGAATTGAAAAGATATAGACGGCTTACTTACAACTTTTCTTCCGAGACATGTGATCCTCAATCCAACCCATCGGTAAGATGAAAAAGCCACGTTGATTAATGAGGCTACGGCTGGACGTTAGTTAGTAAACAAAAAAAAAACAAAAAAACAAACAAACATGCACAGCAAATAGGCAGTCATATATTAGTAGGGGCAAGAGAAAGATGGAATTTAGTAACTACGTCGGGTGTGTTAGATTAGACATCGTCCGTGACCCCTAGTTGTCAAAATCTTAGGCTACGGCCACGAACATCAGTAAAAGCAGGAAAACAAAATAAGAGAGCCATGTCCTGTGTAAGGTCAATATCCCGAACCCCATGACGCATCACCCTGTCACAAATGTATTCGTTCCGGGCCATACGTGACGCCATATACGTAATGTCATATCAACCGTATAACCGTCGTATCATCTCGTCGCGAGTATCGAACTAACAGCACTTCCCACCCTGTTTCGCGGCATCGTCAGGAGACTTGCTCAACGAGATGTTGGTGCCTGCCATCGGGGCTTGGGCACCCTCGCCGCTATCCAACGCCTTGCTCGAAACGATGCGGTAGATTTCTAAAAATAAAATACGCTATTAGTATGCCGTTGCCTTAAACGGCGCCTGGGTAAGCCAAATATGGCAAAAGGGATGCTTACCGGTAAGGATGTTCTGGAAGGCAAGCTCAACGTTGCTGGCATCGAGAGCAGAAGTTTCTATGAAAGAGAGATGGTTCTCGCCTGGAGGTCTCGTGTTAGCAATTTAGGTATCTTCAAGAAATTGAATTGTAGACATACTAGCAAACGCCTTGGCCTCCTCCGTAGGTACCGCTCGGAGGTGCCGCAAATCGCTCTTGTTACCGACCAGCATGATGACAATGTTGGCATCGGCGTGGTCTCGGAGCTCCTTCAACCATCTTGTGACATTCTCGTAGGTCTGGTGCTTGCTGATGTCGTAGACAAGGAGCGCACCGACTGCACCTCGGTAGTACGCAGAAGTAATAGCGCGATATCGTTCCTGGCCTGCAGTATCCCAGATCTGCGCCTTGATCGTCTTAGAATCGACTTGGATGGATCGAGTCGCAAATTCGACGCCAATCGTGGACTTGGAGTCTAGATTGAACTCGTTACGGGTGAATCGACTAAGTAGGTTGGACTTTCCGACGCCGGAGTCTCCAATCAACACCACTATAATTCCATCTCATTAGTAACTATTTCTTAAGAAGCTCGAGTAATCAGCAGGGAGGCTCGCACCTTTGAAGAGGAACTATAGTAGGTATTGATTAGCTAGATCTTCTAAAGACAGTCTAATAATTCAAGGTAGAGAGGAACAATAGGTAAGACTTACATCATATTCGTCGTTGGCCATGTTGGGCGATAAACTTGCGGTCGAGGTAAGGTAAAGGACTGTCAAAGAGAACAGGAGGCACTGTAGCGGCGGTGATAGATAAAAAGGAGCTAGACCGTGGGGCCTATATGTGACGCAACTATAACAAAAAGTCGAGGTCGGCGCTATGTCCAGAGTCCAGAGTCGAATGTTGAAAAAATCTCTACGGACAGTTCCCAAATCTCGTCCGTTATCACAGTTTCGGCTGGCTGTCTGGAAAGGTTTTAGATGTGTCTTGTAGATGCAGGCAATCGAATATACCTGAGTGGTGGAGTTGTAAATGGGGGGGAATTAGGTACAATTGTTAAGGCAATCGTTAAGGCGGGCGGTCGGATTGCTGCTAAAACTGTCGAAGTGTAATAAACTGCGGCCTACGGTGTAAGCAGGTACCTTGCTGCCTTAGGTAAGGCAGGTGTTATCCAGCTGTTGGCAGGGCTCGAAAGTGCGCTAGGAAGTATGCTAGGTTACAGTCGGTACCTAAAGGTCACCTACGGTCGGGGATTGTTGCACGGTGTCAGGAGTCTAAGCGGATCAAACCTCTGGTGCGGGTGGGGTATGTATCACAATAGGAGGCGGTGCAAAAGGCAAGTTAAACTATTCGACACGTGACTAGATCTACTCCACTAGGTTAGGTCACTTGAAGTATGTACCTTTTATCTTGTCTCTGTGGATTTGTATAATTTCATGCGTCTACTTCAGTTATCCATTTCGACTCGCCCATCCCAGGATATATACACATTTCACTCAATGGGCACACATAAGCATAGTCTCTTTGTCAAACTGCCACGATCTTATAGTTACGGTACTAGAGATAAAGGATTATTAATGAACATCATTGGTGTTTGTCACACATCTAGTTAGTCGATCAGAAACTAACGGACACAATAAGGCAATGCGTTCACGACATCTACAAACTTCAAAGTCTACAACTTCAGTCTCCTCCTGCTACAAATTTAACAAGTTCAAACAAGTGTTCAAAACAGATGCTCCTTACTAATAGAAAGTTATATAACTGCCTCTCATAAAGAACAGAATAATAAACCCATCTAGTTACCCCTATAATCATATTTCATCACCACCTCTCAGAAGAATGTGTATGAAACGCCGCGCCCTTCCACCTTGACTTCCCATTTACCCACATCTCAACTCCATGTTCCTAGCCCCTTAACTCCAGCACTCCGCAACTGATCACTCAACTTACTCCATCTTGAGAACAGCTCGGAACCGAGGTCGGCCACTCATCATTGCATCTAGGAAAGTTAGCATGATACAGCAATATTATTATTATACGGGGAGCATATACATACCATAGGCTTCCTGAGCCTGGTCCAACGAGAACGTCTCAACAGCGCATCGTACGCCATGGCGATAAGCAAACTCAATAGCCTTCTCTGAGTCGCAGTTATTCCCCACGGGCCACGCCTGTACCGAGATGCCCCGTTGGACCATATCGATATGGCTGAGCGTCATGTCCCCGGGAAGGCTGAGGACCACCAGTTTACCCATGACGTTGAGGCCCCGGATCAGTGGCGTAAAAGACTCGGCAGTCAGCGCTGTCGTAAATACTGCTTGGGCGCCGCCTAGGACCTTGAGAGCTGCGCCGGCGTTACCCTTGGACGAGTCGATGTATTCGTGGGCGCCGAGCTCTCGTGCTGCTTTCTCCTTCTCAGTGCCCCGCGAGACGGCTATCACGCGGTAGCCCATGCGGTTTGCGTACTGGATGGCAAGGTGACCGAGGCCGCCGAGCCCCTGGATCGCGACGGTCTCGCCAGGCTTAATGCCAGCCAGCCGTAGTGCGTTGAAAACAGTTGAGCCTGCACATAGCAAAGGGGCAGCTTGTACAGCGTCAACGTCTGCGGGAACGCGCACAGCAGCTTGTGCTCGAAGAATAGTGTACTCAGCATCTAAGAGAGGCATTAGCTCTTGTTTTCGTATCGGAGCCAAACTAGATGGCGGGGGCGCTTACATCCTCCGTTCCAGTTTATGCCATTTGCGATAGGGCTATCGCACATCTGAGGCCAGTTCTGCGAGCACATATCACACGTCTCATCGTGGCCGCCGTGATAACCACCTCCAATGCGGTCACCAACTTTCCAACCCTTCACATCGTCGCCGACGACGGCCACTGTCCCGATGATCTCATGACCTGGGACAATAGGAAAGCCGCCGCCGAAAGTGTTATGTTGGGCGTGCGAGTCTGTGTGGCAAGATCCACAAGCTTCGACTTTGACGAGTATCTCACCATTACCAGGTAACCTTAGAGGCACCTCTTCGAGAACTATGTTCTCTCCTGAAGCCTTGAAAGCGGCTTGTTTATATGATGCCGGCAGACCCATGGTCAAGCGTCAAGTGTGAAACTTAGAGGTAAAGGGGCAAAAATTACGATCATATGAAGAATCAGAAAAACCAGTAGGCGGATCAGTCGCATTTGGCTTCATTGTCACTGTCGCTCTCTTTAATGTTCTTATACTCATGATATTGGATGGTATAGGGGGCTAACGGATTTACGGTAAGGCACAGCACGATACTAAGCTATAGCCCGGAATTAAGCCCTTAATCCCAAACGAAGCGACTCGAAGGTTGGCAATGACAACGAAGTTTGTCCAGAACTTAGCCTTATCTGAACTTATTGTGACTGTTGGTCCTTCCGTAGTAACATGAATATACTTATCTATACTCTAGGATAATGTCGCACCTCGCTTCGGTACCGAAGTAGATAGAAACATTGCGTGTCGTGGTTAGCCTCATGATGAGTCAATATAGTGTAGTACTGCTTAGACTACTTTTGGTCTTTCCAACTTTCAGCTAAGGAGTTTGATATGCACGTTGGTGTACGCTGATAAAGTTGACCTGTTATGATTGTTCAGGCCCTTGCTATAGAGACGAAAAGGTAAGCCTTAATCATCTACTTTACCAGGATAGGTAGTTCCACGTGGTTTAGACCCCTGTATGATGTGAATTCCTTTAATGGCGATACTAGATGATAGGACTTGTTGTATTTACTATGATAGCTTATGTCCGTATGTTGGCATGGCCCATACACCCATAGGTTGGCACCTACCACTGGACTTAAACACACCATAGCATTAGGTTGGAGATAGGGGGGTATAAGATTCTACGTATTCAGCCGTAAAGATGGAGTCCTCTACCTTCGAGGCTACGGAGCCGAAGTCTTGGGAATTTCGAGGGCTAAGTTCGGATTTGATGGGAGTAAGTACCCGCTAAGGCTATCCTTCAACATAATGAAATGACTATCGACAAAAGGTATAATCCATATAAACTAGGAATAAAACTATAGCAGTCCAAGCACAAGAGAAACCTAGAACGCATCCCAATATCCCTTACATCTCCTTTCCCAATGCCCAATGCCAAATTAACCCAAGCGCAGACCCTTAAACATCAATCAGAGATACTTGTTAACCTGCTCTTCGCTCCACTGCCAGAATTCCTCCCCGATTCCACTACCGCCTTCAGACTTCCTCTTCGATGCGTCAGACATCCCTTTCGAGATATTCCAGATCCTTCCCCACGGGGCAACTAATTGCGGTCAGCTTGGCTTCTATAAGTGGCTAGTAGTACTTACCGAAGGCGCCAGAGTTGTCAGAGGTGATATGAGGCGAGAGCCCGGCATAAAGAGCCGTGTACGCGCCATAAACAACGGGGTAGAAAACCAGCTTCCGAAGGAAGAAAGTTGTGATAGACCCCTGAGTGCGCCACAAGTCCGAGTCGAGGTTTCCGGGATTCAACGAGGCGGTTAGTACACCATCTGCCTTGTGGCGCTTTGCGTACTCGGCCGCGTGCAAGTAGTTCCCGAGCTTGCTGATGAAGTACTTGTCCATCTCTCCTTGCTTATCGATGCTGTGCACGCCCTTTAGGAAGACCTTGGGGTCTATGCTCAGGGCGGCTGAGGACGATAGCCAGATTGCGCGAACGCTGTTGGGAGGCGCTACCTTGGCTGTTGATACTAGGATCGGCGTCAGGAGTTGTGTCAGGGCAAATGTGCCGAGACAGTTCACGCCGAGCTGGAGTTCGTAGCCCTGCTTCGTCTTGGCTCCCTTCTCCGGGTAGGCGACACCGGCGTTGTTGAAAAGGATATCGAGCTTTTGCTCTCTGCTAAGGAACTCCTCAACCGTCGTCTTGATGCTCGGGATATCAGCTAGGTCGAGGCGGATGTATGCCAATTCGCCTTTAGACCCGGGAGTAGCGGCCTTGATGCTGTCGATGGCATTATTCGTCTTCTCTTCGGATCGTGCCATTAGGTAAACCTTAGCATTCTTGGAGTAGAGAATTCGAGCGATCTCCTTGCCGATGCCAGTGTTAGATCCCGTGACGATGGTGACCTTGTTAGTCAGATCCGGGACATCCTTCTCAGTGAAGGTTGGCTTTCCAGAGAAGAAGGCCTGTTTGATAACAGAAGATAAGTCGGTCATTATGGGTTACTCCTTTTCTTCTGTCCTTGCAATGATGAGTTTGATTGTATTAGTGAATATTAGATGTAACTATGCGATGAGATGAGGCTAGATGAGGTTATATCGTGTTGGCTGTAGATGAAGCTGTAGTATTTCAGCTCACGAGTTCTCAAATACGATGGACATATATACAAGAACTAATATCATGCCACTAATCCTACGCTGGGATAATCCCGCGGGGTTTAACGACTTAGGCTAGAAAGATTTATTAGCAAGAGAAGGTGTTTTCGGTATTGGCTTTTTATGTGCGAGAGTGTTTCCACCCTTCTCTTCGAGGTACATGGGGTGCAATTGAGAGGGAGCATATTGCCGATGTCTAATTCCAGAACCCATATTAATCGTCAAAATCGCGTCAACGAGATGCCCCCCCCCCCAATTCTGATCATATAACAAGAGTACCTGATACTATAATATCAATAGCTTCGCCAATTCTCCATAGGAATTCATGAAGTATTTATTAAATTAAAAAAAATAAACATATTGAATTCAATAAGGGAAGGTTTTATCATTTTCGTTCTTGTCGTTTTCGCTGAGAAAACATGGTTGAAAGGGGGTATATTATTTTGCTTCAATAAGGATGGGGCATCTTTTTTAACGCTATTCTGGTTTTATTGCAGATTCAAGTTATTGCAGATTCAAGATTCACTATTGGCACTAAGATAATCGCGGAGAACTAGTTGCTATGTACCTATGTACTTTCCCAATACCGGATGATTACATCATTACCTTCACGTTATGTAAGGCAGCAGTTGCACATGCATAGGTACCTATGTAGATGAAACCCGCGGGATTGTGCAAGAGCCTTATGTAAGACGTACCATCCCTAGTCGCCAAACCCGCGGCCCTCGACAACTTACACCTTATTGTCTCGCGTTACGACCAAACTGCCATTCCGGGGTTTCATGCTCTGGTCTTGCTCAAGTCCGATATCCGTTGGCTCTTAGGAAGGTTGGCTCTTAGGAAGAATCCTGAACCTAAGACCAAATGCCGCCCGGTCCAATAGCAGGTCCTTCAGCGACGTCATGCAGCCCGGCGCCTTACGGCCAGGCTTGCGTTGCCTGCTCCCGTGCCAAATGCAAGTGTTTCTATCGGGCTGATGGATCTTCATGTGAGAGGTGCCATCGTCTTGGAAAAACTTGTGAATCAGCCTTAACTACTCGCAAACGGAAAGCCCGTACGCCACCTCCCCCACAATCACCCGTGCAGCATCCGCCTCCAATCGGTAGCACTCGACTTGAGGAGAAATTGGATGAGCTTGTAAGCCTGTTACGTTCTCAAGCAGCTGAGAAACAAGCCCAACAGCATACTCCAGAATCACTACCCGGAGGGGCACTCGCTGGTTATACTGATTCCATGTCTCCAACACCTATATCTATACCTGTACGTGAGCATCCGGATATCGCCATAGACACCACTGCTACTATCGTACATCTCTTGCGCCCCTCTACTCCTACATCACCGTCCCCTATATTCAATGATGTGTCCGTCCATAAAATACCAGAAACGACCGCAGAAGAACTCTTAGACAGTTTTCGCAATGCCTTTATTCCCATGTGCCCTGTTGTTCATATCCCTATATCAACGAACTCTGCTGAGCTGCGCCGTGAGCGGCCTTTTTTATGGCTTGTCATTATGACCTTGACTTCCAAGATAATCTCGCAGCAGTTTGCAATGGCAGATACAGTGTGGCGCATTATATCGCATAGAGTAGTTTTGCAACATATTGTTGATCTAGATCTGCTCCTCGGCATCGTCTGCTTCGCTACCTGGTCTGTGTCCCGCAGTCTCATTTCAAATGACTGAACTAATAAGTCAAACTAACTAACTTGAAAGGTCTCATCACGTCAAGGAGGATAAACCATTTATGTGTATGCTTTCTCAGTTAGCCGTATCGCTTGCCCTCGAATTGAGTATACATCATGATACGCCGACGCGGCCGCTGCGGCGTAATAGATTCCCAGCTCAACGGCCCGTAGATCAGCGCCCTCGAACTATAGAAGAGCGTCGGACCATGCTAGCTGTCTTTCATCTTACATCTTCGTAAGCGTTGTCTCTCTAGGTATACCTGAGAATAAGGCTTTCTACCTGCAATACTAACCTAAACACACTAGTACATGGTTAACATACAGGCAAACAGAACCCCTCCGTTGGACGTCGTACTTGGATGACTGCCTCCGTATCCTCGAAGAGGAAAAAGAGGCATATACCGATATCCTTTTGACCACACAGGTTAGGTGTCAGATCATTTCGAATCAACTAACCTGTTCTCTCGGAAACCAGCCAGCGGGAGCAGAAAACCCTAAAGCAGTACCGGCTACTCTAGTTACAGCCCTGCTAAGAGAACTCGGTAATATTCGACGAAACTTGCCAGCCGAGTTTGAATCAAATAGTTAGGAGACCCCGCCCTATCCTTCGGTAGTCCATTAAAGTCTAACAAGTATCTTTAGAAGCAACGCAGTTCTACTTATGCTTTGCGGAAATAAAAATTCGAGAAACAGTACTTTACAGACCTAGGATCATAGACCAGACAGGTGCTTCGCAGTTCCAACGACTACAAGACCTAGATCTAGTTTTAAGCATCGCGGAGCGATGGATATCCATTTTAAATTCCCTGCCCCATCCCGAGTGGCACGGCTTCACTGCCGATCTCTTCACCCAGTTTACGCAGTACTTCGTAGTACTGTTCAGGCTCCAAACTCTTGACGAACCCGGCTGGGACCAGGACGAAGTAAGGCGGAGGGCCGACGTCTTCGGTATTATAGACCAAGCCTGCATAGACCTCGATCGCGTTCCGGTGTCGCTAGGCATGGTAGACGCCAAGGGTTCGCGGAGCGGATTCTTCTTCAAAATGCCCCGTCTGCTCCGGGAGGTAAGGTCGCTTTTCCTGGCAGAGATGCCGCAGAACACGCAGATAAATCCTGCTTTCCCCGCCGCGGATAATATGGCTACGGGGGATGGTATTAATACCGCCGCTGGGTATGGGGATGACATGTGCCTCGCGGATGAAATTTATTTGAATACGGTACAGGATGATATTTTGGCGCATATATGGGATTTTAGACCGGATAGTTCTTATATGCCTTTTGCTTCCTAGACTGATACCAATATATGGGCTATGCTCGTATTGCAATACTACGAAGTATTCATGGGAATAATTCGCGTACTGGGCTTTTAAATGCCAACCCCAACACTCTTCTTGTCATCTTACCCCTTACTTATACCACATTATAGATTCTAAGCACCGTACCCCTATTTTTTTTTCTAGCTCTAGTGGTAAAATCCTTAGGCTGGAGAGATCTTATAGACTGATAGACTATCTCTTAATGTTAACGTCCCTATGAGTAATCTAGGGAGATTACATACTTCACGTCAGACAAACTCAAATAAACACTCTCCTTTATACCACGTCGGCATTTACTACTACAATTCGATGATAAAACATTTATCCGAGTCATCTCAATTCGGGCATCGGTATATTTCATTGTGTACAACGCGGTAAGTACCTAAAATTTACCATAATAACCCTTACGCTCTCAGCATACTTCCTCAGTACTTCCTTATAAGATTTGCTCCTAGACTTGAACTCAAAGTCCTTTCATCTGATCGACAAAACGCATGTACAAATATCTCTCAGCTCCATAGTATACTCAAGGTCTGTAAACTTGGCTAGCTGAATCAAGAGGCAGACAGGCCTAAATTTTTGAATTGTGGCAAACACAGCGCACAGGGTGTATAGATAGGTAGGTATCTTCTGCCCCAACCCTCCTATACCTCGCATCAATCCAACGCTTTCCAAATCAATTCTTTTTACGTTCCCCATTAGAATCTTCCTTAGGCTTTTTAGACGTGAAGTGAGAACCAAGTTTCCCATCAGAACTCTATTTCTTCTGAAATAGCTTGGTCAAAATTCTATCCGCACTGTCGACTTGGACGTGACTCGAATCACGACCTTCCGCCTTCATGTCGTGATACCAGTCCAGAGTCGATCTATACTGGTATCTCATCCTCTGACATGATGGGTCCTTCGCCCGAGCGCTAAAAGCAGCCTCATAAAGATCGTTGACGCATGTTGACTTCTCTAATTTGGTTCCAGGACGCGGTGCATGCCATATAGACCTCGGGAGCTTATTCTCATTGCCCTCGTGTTTGGGTATTGGCTTCTGCTTTTGTGGCTTTGGGTGTCTCACTCCTTCTTCCCACTCATATCTTGGAATACGTATCCAGCCCTTATCTGGCAAAAGAGATTCTAAGTGAGGTAACCATTGCTTGCCGTCTGCCATCATTTTTTCTATCATTCGCTTTGTGATATCTAATTGCCTATCCTCTGGGTTATACTTCAAGTCGGTTTTACTGCTCATATAGACATCACCAAGGTAGTAGTTTGAATCCTTCAGTGATATTTCCCTTCTAACAAGATCGATTAGATGCCGCTGCATGTTAAGTAGTACAGCTTTCCCGCGTCCGGATTCTCGGTCATGGGCGGATATATCCCAGATAAACAGTTCTACTTCGGCATATGTAGCAATGTGGAAATGGGGATTCTTAGGCCTAAGCACTGCAATCCAAGGGTGGCGCCTATATGAGCTGGGAGGCAACCGGGAGTTCCACTCGTCGTCTATGGTATAGAATAGACCATACCAAGTGTTAATATTTGCGAACCTGTGGGCATTACCCAACCAGTTCTTGAAGGTATCGTACTCGCATCTCGAATCACCAAAGTGGTCAGCCATCGGCACATGCAGCCACGAAACGGGCTTGTAGTGTAGCTTAGCCCAATTTCTTTTTCTCATAAGGCGGTTGGGAAGATTGGTGATCCATAGGCTGAGCTCAGTAGCGCTGCTGCCGCTAAGGGACGAACGAGGATGGAATGCATGTGGAGCAGACGCGCTGCTCGCGCTACCAGGGGCTACGGAGGCGTCATGAGCAAAATATCTTGATTTCTCACGCGCCGAAGCTATGTCGGGGTTGTTGACCGTTTCTTCTGTATAGACAGGAATCTCGATGTTCCTGTAAGCGGCTCTGTTTTTGTTGTTATTCGAGCCAAGCACGGTAAATTTGCGATATCGATCACACTTCAAGCTAGACCACCAACAAAAATAATTTACCAAACTCTGCTCGTCGTTTGGATCGATAAAATCCGTGACCCATTCCACTTTTCGGATCTCTTCACTCGTTTCTTCGTCTCCAAAATCGGTTATGATCCCCTTCAGGGCCTCCCACGCTCGGAATCTTGCTTCGAGCTCTTGCTTCCCTAAACCGGATTCTGCTAAGAGCTCCTCAAGATGAGGGTTGTTTTTATGTGCTAAACACATCCTCTTTCGTTCCGCTTCTTTCTCCAACGTGACTACTTTAAGGTAGTCCGGAAAATTTGCGCAGGCCATAATCAGATAATGAGGGTTACAGCAGTAATTTTTAAACCATTCCAGAAACTTGTGAAGACGGACCGGATCTGACAGTGCAAAACTAGGCGTGATAAAAAAGGCTCGGCCCTGGGGAAATAATCGTGTGAGTTGGAGTGTGCCGGGTTCAATAGACGCGCATATGTCCGAAGGGAACCTCGGCGGATTATACTGGCCCGTAGCAAGATCCCAAAATGTATAACAGCATTTATTGTCAATCATTTGGAATATCCGGGGCAATTTCCGGATAGATGTACTAACATCTTCATGTAAGATAATAGTACCTGCTTTGCCTGTTTGCACGGTCTCGTGGAAGTGTGCCCAGCTGTCCTTGATTTCGTTGGTGAATATTTGGCAGGCTGGTTGACATGAACCTACAAATATTACAATTAGTAACTATACCTTCCATCATAATGAAAACAACGTGTTCTGGATATCACTCACGGAGCCAAAGCTTGATCATATTGCATACTTGTTTTTCTCCTTCGGGGAAAAGCAACATGAACACCTGATTATCCTTCTCTTTAGGGGTCTGAGGCAAAAACAAAGAGAAATCCAACCCAAGTAAGTCCTTGATAAGTACTCGGCAGTGCGATCCTTGTTCCACGTGGCTCAGTCGGATTGGAGCACGAGGAACGGACGCTGGGGGGTAGAGTTTCGTATCGTTACGCGATTTATAGATTATATATCGCAAATGAGACTCTGGGTTGAGCTTGCTTGTATCGACGCCGAGTCCATTCCAGCCATCGCATTTTGAAGGATAGACAAGAATTGAAAATTGTTCCGTGATTAGGTGACTACCATATGAGCCTCGTCGAAGGTGTTCCGCCACATTACTCAAGGTTGACGAAAGCTCCTTGGATTTGGCCTCTACCGTACCGTCAGAGAGAGTTTCCCCCATTATCAACTCATTTTTGCGGGAGACGAAATCATACGAAGAACAGATGGAATCAAAATGTAATGTCTCTTGTGCCATAAAAGCCGACAGCCAGGGCTGAAGTTGGCGAGTGATGCCGCAAAATAGGACTTGGATCGGCTCAGATCCACCCTTTCCGAATACGGCTGTCCTTAGAACGACCTGAGTCTGCCCTCGTTCCTGGTAATTGGTCAAGGATAATTTCCTTGATGGATGAACTTTAAGCGAGTCCGGAGTTTCTGGGGGATGATCGATGTCCATTGGACTATCAACAACAAGACCGACTCCGTCATCTGTGGCTCCGCCCATGGGCGTATCCTCCGATGCGTCATTCTGCGCTCCAGTAAAGCGAACAGACTTCTTCGCCTTTAGTGTCGGTGTAGTTATGTTCATGCCGCTCGGCGATATTGCCGTAGGACTTTGTACAATTGGAGCGTTTGCTATGGGCGTAACTGGAGACCTCGCGTTTGTTACGATGAAACTAGCCGGGATAGATGAGATATCAAGGTGCGCTCCATCCATTCTTTCGATACCCCTTTTTTTTGCGATATTCATGACACGCATTGAATTGAAGGCCTTTGGTGTCTTTGACGGGTCATCCATGACATCGCCAAGACTCGCCCGCTTCTTCCGCTCTTTACCTCCAACGAAGACGTTAGTTTTTCGTGCAGGTAAGGCGGCTGGTTGAGGTTGAGTGCGAGTCGCGGTATGCCGCTTCCCAGAAAATTTGTTTGCTAGGCTAGACGACATCTTCGGCGGGAGCGACGAAGGAGCCTTCGACGTTGAATTTGTCGTCGTTTGATTTGATGCTTTCTTCGTGTCTGTGCTGGGCTTTCTTGCGGTGCCTTGGTACCCGGTCATGGTAGTGCCTATTCCCCCATCGCCCGAAGACGCTCGTGTTGGCTTTAGAGGCTGCTGAGCCGGTTTAGACGGTATTGGGTGCGTTGGTGCCCGCTTATTCTTACTCTTGTTTTGAACCGAGCCCGCCTCTGTAGGGGTTGGGATTCCATTAAACATCTTCTGCTTGATGATTTTCTGGGGTTTTATCTTAGGTGTTGGATGGTCCGGATCAACGTTACTCGTTTCTTTCAGTCCGCTATCGAGGTCCATTTCATTTCCAGAGGCAATCATTGTTGAAGAATCCTCAGTAGGACCTTCAAGAGGCAGAGGTGCGGTGAGCGGTAGCCCCAATCTCTTCCGTTTTGCATTCCGTCTCTCGTGTCTTTCCGCCTTTTCTCTACATGCAGTGTTATATATTTCAACGTCAAAAGGTTGGCGCTGTCCGGTTGCAATCTCCTCCTGGATCTCATCCCATTGCGCAAGAAGACCCGGTCCTAGGTTTTCCACTGGCTCCCACGTACACTGATCCATCGGAAACCCCTCCCACTTGATTAGGTACTGTCTCTCACCCGGTCTTTCCGGGTGAGCCCGATCGGCGTAGAGGTCTGCAACAGTCCATTCTTTATCCTGATCTTCACTATTGACTCCGTAATCAGTGGAAGCCAGGGAAATATTATCTATATCATCAGTAACACTGGGCCCGACAGGAACTGATAGACGAGTTGGAGAAAACGCCATCTTAAAACATTAAAAAGGGCGTATTCGACACCAACAAGGAGAAGAGGGTAGAAATCGGATGGTGATTATGATATGAGGTACCTGGTACCTGGGGTAAAGGTACGCAAATAGCGTTCTCTTACAGGTAACTTCGTTATAACGAATTGATTCGAACAGTAGAGATTATTTGAAATGATCTACGAGAACGCTCTCAAGATGTATATGTTTATGTGCATGGGAATTGTGAGATTGAAATTTGTGTTGGTAGGTACAGGTAATGTAGTTGTTAGTTGTCGAGTTTTGATACGGGCAGTTACCTCAGTTACCTTGGTGCCCAGAAGATTTTGGGCATTTGGACTAGAACGCACTGGCCAATTAGATAACTGAAGCCGGGAAACAGCAACCAGAAAGCGTACCTGCCCGTTCTGTTTGACCTCTATGATGTAGACTGTGTAACAGTGAGGTAGGTACAGGTAAGCTTGTGCCTCTAGCCGAGTATTGGGCTAGATAGATAATGCACCTATCTATTTTATGTCGAGTTGAGTTTTTGTTTGCATGTACCTATTGATGGAGGTTGGGAAGCTCACTCTCGCATTTTGAATAACTATTGTTCAAATCAACATAGATATGTAGTTATATAAGTAATTATATAATAATAGGTAGTTTAGAGATATTTCTATTGTCGCTACGACCCTCATCGTCTATATAATAAAAACCAAAAAGAGCCCCCCCCAAAATATGAATACCGTTTACTCGTACGCTAAGAAGTCTCATCTCGACATTTAAATTTGTGGGGCTCCATTTTACATATGTATGTAACAAAGGAGAAGATCTACATCAAGCAGTGTAGTTCTATCAAAAAGGGGAGATATAAAAGTAGCGCCACACGCGCTTTGACGCGGATATATATGTATCTTAGGTATCTTATCAGTAACGGTACTCGCCGTCCGCGCTTCTGCGTCCGTTCGACCTATTATCGTCCCGCTCGTCGTTCAGCCAATCCTCGACATTTTTCCAGCTGCGGGCCTCCGGGTCGACCTCGCGCTCGAGGGCGCGGCTTCGAGAACGACCATAGTCGCGTTCATCCCAATCCCTCCTCCAGCTGGAGCCGCTGCTATCGCGTGGGCGAACGATAACCTCGCGCTTCTCAATGACGTCGCGGTCCGGCCTGAATTTGCGCTCCCATTCCTCTTGCTCAAATCTGTCCCTTTCACGCCGTACCTCAAACCGCTTCTCGACGGCATTTGCGCCGAGCGCACCTACGGCTGCACCGACCACCGTGCCGATGAGTTGCTTGCGCTTCTGGTCAGGGGTTTCGTGATGATGGTGACCATTGTTCTTGTGCGTGGCATCGACTGCTTCCCTAGCCGCTAAGCCACCTACTAATGCGCCAAGTACGCCAATTCCAAGGCCCGCAGTGGAGTTGGAAAAGTTGGTATCGACAAAGTTCCGTGCCTTGTCGATCGGAGTCCGCGTCCGGCTGTCATCGGAGTATTCGCTATCGCTGTCTCTATCGTGACTTCTTTCCTTTCTCCTTCCGCGACTTGATCTACGATATTCACCTGAGGGGAGAGATCTAGGTCGCGAGCGCGATTCGGGTATTTGCAAGCTCGATGACGACTGAGACGGGTGCGGTTCATAGGTTAACTGTTTTGGAGGCGGCGACTCATCATACGTAGGGTTTGTCGTGTTTGCAAGTTGTCGGCTTTCCTCATAGGATATTGGGTAGTCTCCTCCCGAGTATGTGTAGCCGGGAGAACGGTCCCGATGGTGGCTCGACCGCTCGCGAGAACGGCTGTCATGGTAATGCGACATCTTTATGGTTGGTAGGCAAGCTTCACAAAATGTATACTAATTGCCGCAGTAAGATGCCAATATCTAACGGTAGTTGGAGTTTCGAAACAGAAACCGGTGTAAAACAAAATATGCAGGACGTAATAGTGAGATTCTATTTAGCAAGATAGATGAGTATTAAAACCCTCAAGCCGAATCAAATCCGAGACAAGCAGAGTTGCTCAGGTAGTAGTTGGTGGATAGGTAGACTTTCGTATTATTATCTCGCCGAGGTATATTCTGCCCAGGCTGAAAGGCATAACAGGTAAATACATACATGCAATATATGTACGGAAATAGATGGTAGGAGTCAAGGCAAACCCATGAGTATTAAGTATTAGTCAATGCTTTTACGGCAGTGCCTTCTGATCCCACGCCATTCTGTCGTGCATCTCATGCAAGACGTGATACGCTGGAATAGTTGCAGTGAGTAGAATGCTCGGGTGAATTCTTGGAGAACCGAAGGATGAGTTTCTCGGCTCTGTTGGGCTTGGATCATGCTCGATGCCTCCTGCTGCGGACTACGGCGGGATGGCGGATGACCATTGGTGGGGCCATAAGCAGATGATGTCACGCACTCGATTACCTGCATGTGCTCAAGTCACTCCAAGCAATAAGGTACTTAGGTACATAGGTGCCAAGAACCATTTTCGGTAATAAGTACATAACTTTTCGAGTTTTGCAGAGGGAACATCAACTGCCTCCTATTCTTTTTGGAACGACGATGGTTTATTCGCCCGGTCGAACAACGATAACTACCGGCTTTTAGACGGGCGTATCTACATTTTTATACTATGTATACTTTACATTCCATCTTAGCTTCGCCATTAGGTACCTAGGTAGCAATAGGATCTCACCGAAGGTGAAAGAATATGCAAGGTACCCGAACGACGACACGAGGCTCTCCCTTTGATCAGCCAACCGAATAGCCAGCCTACCGAACTAGCGTATATAGTGACAACTGCCGCATATCTATCCTCGCGCAGCCTGATTTAAATGATGGTAGAAAAAGGAGGTAGCATCTGCAACAGCGCTAGGCACAGAGGGTTTACCGATATCATGTAAATGCTTAGCCTCTGGTATAGCCACAGTATAGTCTTTAATATGACCTCGTTAGTAGGCATATTAGTACCTTCATCGAGATGTTCAGCCTTGTTAGTCTGACTTCAAATCACACTTCCTCAGTACACTATACAACAGCAATAGTAAAGGGGTCTATATACGAAACATAGGTAGGTTTGCAAACCAGACAGTTATTATTACGTTGCGAGTTCTATCAACCTTACTAATGTACAATCTTCTGTCAGTATGTCGAAATAGGTATACCGACGAAAAGGCACAAGGCTGTCAGACCAAGCTGCAAGAAGGCAAGCCAAGAAATATCGTTCAAGTATCATCATCTGCCATCATCATCTTCCATGGTTCATTTGCCGTAACGCGGGGGGATTCCGACGAATTGACATGAAAGGCGTGAGAATAGTCGATTGTCCAGATCAGATGTGATCATCACACGGAAACATTTTTGTGTCGCAGTAATAGAAGAAATAGTACACAACGACGTCCCCCACCGGTAGGATGAGGTCGAGGTTGAAGCCCCCATTGAATTCTTAGTCGAATTCGAGGGCCATGTCTTGATCGAAAGACACAGTCTATGCGATCTTGACATAGTGAGGCGAACAAGCTTGTTGCCTGTTGCGGTGTGTGCAAAGAAGAGAGTTGAATCTCCCCAAAAAGGGTCGTCACAAGACGAAGCAAAAAAAGCAAGACAAAACAACTATCGTCCATCTGGCGACGATTGTGGTATCATAACTGTGAGACAGTATCTAACCGGTTTTTATCTCATAGACGCGATGCTAGAGAAAATTTGAGGAATTTGTTGAAAATTCTCTCTCAGAGTCAGAGCCGGAAAATGTCATCTCAAACAAGGAAATCGGGTATCAGAACATCGAAAACCCCCTGAAAGCCCCTGAAAGGTCCATCCTGAACAAATCGTAAAAGCGTCAAATACTGCAAAGGCCATGCATGACCTTCTGATATGGGATATCATCAAGGGACGAACCGCCTACAAAGGTCACGTCCTATTGCCGCCTATCTTACTTCGTCAAAGCATGCGGCTGTTCCGAGGGGTTATACACCTTAGGCTCAAGAATCGGGCCACTGAAGTCCCGCTGTCTCGGGGGGACATTGATCTGGTTTTTGATGCGGTATTCGCCGGGATGTTTGCCCTTGGGAGGGGACAGATCATCGTGGCTTCGATGTTTGAAGCCAGAGTTAGGCGCGTACTCCACGAACGACTTCGCCACCTCTTCTTTCTCTTGCTTCTCCTGGCGGACCTCGATAATAGTCCGGAAGAACTGGCACACTTCCGCCAGCGAAGTCTGTAACTCGGGAGGGCTGTTGAGCAGCTGCATGAGTGCCTGGGAGTCCAAAATGTGCTTCGCGATGACCGAGTCCGGCTGGCAGTGTGTGCGGATCCGCATGTTGCGCGCGTTCATCTTCATGCCGTACAGGAGGCCCTTGACAATATGGCCGTCTGCATAGTGCGGACCATGGAATCGGAAGTTTCCGATGTGTGCGTATATCATGTCGATTTGGGTCTCAAGGTCGTAGCGGAACCCAATCACCTTTGGACGACCCATCTGTGCCCAGGAGTCGGCTATCTTAGCATGAATGTGCGGGTTCATGCGTCCGAGGTGTAGTTGGCCGTTGATGTATCCGCTCAGGGTGTTGCTCAGGATGAACTCCAGCTCACAGTAAAGCAGACTCTGCTCACGGGGATCAAGTGTGATATTGAGTTCACGAGCAATACTCACTCTGGATGCGCCAACTCTAAAGTCCGCCATCCCAGCCTGCAATATGTCAGCTTCAGCAGTTGGAAAAGAGGGAATTAATGAAAACATACGATCTTTCGAGCCGTCTTCTTCATGCCATCAAAGAAACGCGCATTCGTGGTCTTCGGGCGCTCGGGTTTCTTTTGCGCGGCGGTGTCTTCGAGCCATCCTTTATCGCCGAACAGATTCTTCTTCACCTTCTTCACCTTGTCATTGGTAAGCCACGGCGTCAGCGGTGTAAAAGGCGGCGCGCCGTATTCCTTAGTAACGTCATTGACGGTGAGAGACTTAGGTAGACCTGGGCTACCTTTCTTGGGTGAGTGGTCTCGAGAAACAGCTTGAGATACCGGGTCATCTGAAATAGGAGTGACCGGGTGGTTGTGCTCCTCGGTAGGTTGCTTCTCCATCCAATTGGAGTAGCCCTTTAGGATGCTACCCCTTCCCAATCCAGCTTTGTAGGGGTCACCCGAGGGCTCTTCGTAGAAGTGAAATGGTGTAGTAGCTCCGTATACTGAGGGGCTATCGTCGTCGGAACTCTGGCCTCTCTCTGATGAAGGGATGGGATTGTGGACGGCCTCGATGTTCGCGTGCCTCCCGTTCGTCGCACCATACCTATGAGCCTCCTTGAGATCAAGCGGCTCAGGCCGACGTTTCTCTTTCTGTCGAGCAGGAGTAGACACAGCTGGTTTCGGAGGAAATTTGTGTCGGGACATGTCTCGAGATCTCTGAAGCGGTTCTTCATCGCGCATATTGATGAGATCAGATACTGTCGTGACATGGCTGGGAAAGTTGCCCCCGGCATTCTCAGGCACAGGAGAAAGGAGGTCATCAGCATCACTTGACTGGAATTCATATCTGTTCTGCAGCGAGCGTCCACGTTCCGGGGAGGTGGCATTGCCTAGTTGCTGGTATGTGATAGATGAAGCGCTGTTCCCTCTGCTGCGGGTGTAGTACGGAGGAGCATCACTGGGCTCGTCCCGGTAAGAGCGTGATCCCGATCGCGAATGGAAAGGTTCTCTGCTAAGCACCCGAGCTCGAGCCACACCCAATTCTAGCTCTACGGCGCTGCGGCCTCCTTGGGGAGTCGAATACCTATTATTGTTAGAAAGAGGTAATTATTTCCTAGGTAAGGAAATACATTTAAAGGGAAGTGCTTGTACTTACATCTTAGAAAAGTTGTTGAAAAAAACGCGTTCAACTTCAGACCGAGTGATAGGTAGCGGAGACGACAGCCTACGAAGGAATGTTCTCTGGAGAATAGCAGGGTTGTCACGCGAATGACACGAGGTTGAAAAACTGCTTTGCGCTGATGCCGATGCGTCTGTTGCGTGCTGGAGTGCAGTGGTATGAAGGGAACAACTATCCGTACGCGACGTGAAATCCGTGAAGGGACTGAGCAGTTCCGGATCCTGGATGCTTCCAGATGCGCTGCTAAGCCAATGTTTGACTTTTTCCTGCTCTTCTAGACCAAATACAAATTTAGCATCCCAGCAAACAAGGAATCTCGAGATAGGGGCATAAGAATTAGGAAGGGGGTTGCAGGGACTGGATAATAAATAAAATTGACAAAAAAAGAAAAAAAAAAGTTTTCTCTACCTACCCTTATCAAAGGTCGTGCTTATGGATGTGATTGTTGATGTTGGTGAAAGTGCTACATCCTTAGGAAGTTTCTGTTTCTTCTCTGTCACCTTGTTGTCGCCTAGGCGATAGGTTAGAATACAGCCCACCAGTCGTTACCAGTTGACGGTTACCAGTTGACAAGACGTACCAAAGCTGGCCCCCCATACCCAACGAACGCTTCTAGCATCATCATTGAATACCGGGTTAGATGAGTGATATCTCTCAACAGTCAAGACTGCTATAGGGCTAGGCAACCCAGCTATGAATATGTGTTAATCGAATGCAATGTACATAAATGCAACATAGATATAAACATCATAATATACCTTGAAACAGCCCATTAACGCGAGTCGCCTGGGCGAAATCACTTGCAGCTTCTTCATCCGCCATGTTGTCGGACGAGAAGACAATTAGTTGAAGATGGTTAATTTTATGTAATGTTGAAGAAACTTTTGTTAAAGGATGCCGGCGGTTCGATATTCTAAGTACAGATTAATTCACCACCCGGCAACAGAACAACTGACCGCCTTTTTTCTTCAGGTTTTTTTGTGACTGTCTTGATACTTTCCACGCATCTCTTGTAATATTAGGTACCTTAGGTAGGCATATGAAAATCTTTCAATTGTCGCCCCTTAAACACAGCACAAAGACGTGAGCTACTAAATTCTATATTGCACATAGCTGATTGATCAAGCACCGCGATAGCCTATTGTGTCACACTTGCCCTTCAAGAACACCCTTCTTCCGTCACCACACTTTTGTGGGCATCTTCCTCATTAAATCCAGGTGGACTAAGACTCGGCGACAGCTCAATTATGGTAGTCTTACGATTTGGTGTCGAGGTATGGGTACCCGAGGCTTCTGCTGGCGTCGTGAATTCCACGTTTTTGAAAAGTAGAGTATCACAACGTCGTAAGCCATGTCTACTTCTAGATAATTCATCAGCTACAGTCAACATGAACCACGGTACCCAATACGCACCTTTCTTGGATAGACGATAGCTGGACATGATTAGAATCCAAGAGTGTCGAGAGGCCTTGATTACTTAGCGTCGAAGGTTCATCAGACTGTAATTGCCTCCATGTGGTCCTATCAAAGCCTCGCGGTATAGTTTCACCCAGGCTATTGAGCGCAGATCGGTTCGAGGTGGTATAGTTTGCCAGTAGCTGTGTGGTATCCCTGTCACCATCTACTATTTCTTCCAGATTAAAGACAATCCCTTGTCTCTTGGTCGATATCCGTTGGTAATCAGCACACTGCTCGGTTCCCTCCAAGTTACTTTCTTCGAATCGATCACCAAGCTCTAAGGTGCTTGTACCCTCAATTGAATCATTTAAGTCAAATCTTCTGCAAGTTACCGTGGGATCCTCGGGACTCCATTGGTAGTCTAGTCCTCCATCAAAGTTTAGTTGTGGTGTAAAGGGCCCGCGGAACGACCATTGTCGCGCTCTCTCTAATAATCCGGTCGAGGCAGCCTTCACAATGGTGTCAGTGGCCTTTGATTCGGCGGTAGGCATCTGTCTTAGAGGTAGGCACGGAGGCAGCGAGTCACCAGTCCCAACGAGCAAGTATTTCCTGGCAAATATTGCATTAGGTATCTGGCAGCCGCTGGGTAGAGGCACGGTTGCAACATCCGGGCAGGCTCGTTTAGTTCGGAATGATGGGGACGAGGCTGTCTCGAACGTGAGCGCACCCGGGATCCAACTGCATCGTCGTTGGTCTAGCTCGGGCTTATGTTTATGCATATGCATCTTATCTGATAGTTTACTAAAGAGACTGGATCTAGATGAATAACCACGAAGTCCTTTGCAAGGTTTTGGGTTATCGAGAAGGAGAGTATCCGCTGTATCTGGGGGTGATGTCGCGCTTGGACGATCCGGGGAGGCAATCGGCACATCTCGCTCTTCGATGAATTTCCCTTGCGCGCCACACTCGTGGCTCCATTGCATCTCATGGAACTTCTTGGGGTTCGGGCTATTAAGTGGGCGAGTACCGTCGTTTCGGGAAGAGATGTATAGTGTGTGATCAATAAGCCATGCCTTTCGGTTGCGTATGCAGCTAGGATCAATAGATGCCCTCTCAGTCGAAGGAGATGAATCGGACAATACGAATGGGTATCTGTCTGGGTGTTCCGATCGCCATTTTGCGAGCTTCTTTGTTGGGATGATTGAGGAAGTAATAGTAGTCATATGTGGGACGTGAGGGAGTTCGAGGTCAGCCTAGGGGATACTGTCAGCTCTTGACTACCTAGGGAGGAAGTCTGTGAACTTCTAACATATCTGCGTAGGTGATCATGTTTCCACCTTTGAAATGCGGCCCCTGGATCATCCGTATGCTCACAGTCAACTTCAATCAGTTCATAAAGCACACCACCCGCCAAGTCGAGATTCTCATCACCAAGATGTTCTCGTAAAACTAAAAATATCTAAGTTGAATGTGTTAGAAGACGTGCAGACATTCAAAGACATGGCATACGAACCTGTGGAATTCCGTCTTTGTATTGGTAGTTCCTTGGGATGTGTGCGCAGTATCTTACAAGCACGTTGCGACATTCTAGATAATTGTAAGTTACGATAATATAAGGGGATCTTAACCATATACTTACTCTCTTCATGATAACCGATTCGGTCTAGATTATGAGTTCCAGACCGCTTGAAGCTGTGGCTTATATTGGAGTCAGGGTTATCTTCGTCCTCGATAATTTGTATAATATCCCCGGTGACACTGCTGTCTTCCTCTGCGGAAGTCTTAAGCCCTGTATGGCGATGCGACGTCCTCGATATCATAGTGCAATTGATCAGAGAGGCCATATAATTATATGCAACGGAGCAAGCAAGTGTTTTGGCTAGATACCAGAACGAGATGCATTTAGGCTAAGGGGTTCGACAGGACTGGCGCTGTAAATTATTATTAAGGCTATAGATTTGTTAGTGACCCTGAAGTTAAACATTTCACGTAGGAAAGGGGGAAAAGGAACGTTGTGATCGAGACTTCCTGACACAACGGTGAAAGCTTACATAGTTGTTCCCACACGTGCCCTCAGTATTGCTATGTTCTTTCCCTTTATGAGACGAGCATATAAGTACCGATATGTAACATACATGTAGGTACATAATGCAACGACGCCAATTAGAATCAAAGTCTATTTGGGTAATACCTATATACCTATGTACCCCATAGATGCCTAATGCTCTCCCCAGCTTTTGAAGGATACATACGTGCTCCTTCCATCCGATTGACATTATATGAGGATGTTTACATGTAGCCCCCTGGGCCATGCATTGACTCTGTAAATGATGCTCTGTGGTATTTCTGTAAATCAGTGTAGTATAAATTCATAACTATTTAGCAATCTTACGGGGTATTGCTAATACCTACATACATGCTTGGGTACCTAATGTATGTCTAAAATATATAAGGGTAATAAAGAACCATCTTTGCACTTATAGGCTTATATCGAAATGCCGAGACCTCTACTGAAGGGGTAACACAATGTTTTATAGCTGGGCCATCTTCTCACCCAACTTGTTTGTGCAAAAAGTACCGAAATACTCGTTTAATGCGTCCACGGTCCCAGAGCCTTCAACTAAGCTCGTTACGATACCCACGTAGCCATCGGGTCGAACGACGACGACCCCGCCTCTTTTCTCGTCAAATCCCATCTTGGCGTGGGCGGTGGCCTTTGCATCAGGTACGCGGCGGTCCCATCTGTCATCAGCATATATGTGGTCGCGGTAACGAGAAAGGAGGTTCGGTACGTCCCGTGTGATCTCGATCTGACTCCGTTGGGCAGCAAAAACGGTACATATAGTAAAGAAGAGGCTGTGAGGGTTGTGCGTCTCGTGGTGCGAGACCGAGTCAATGTCCGGTCGAAGATAGGAACTGTAAAATGAACCCTTGTTGCTGAGGCGAAGGGCAAAGTCCTCCAATGCCCTAGAGGTTACCGCAGGCTCCCCGGCGAAGATGTAGATACGGAACGCGCCGTTGAGAGGAACTTCTTGTTCTAAATGCACAACATTTGCGTCGACAACCCTCGTGACGTTGGCGTTGATCATAATCCGACCCGTTCGTAGTTTGCTTCCTCGAGGATTGATTAAAGAGGACTTGGCTGTGTGATCTGGAGACCAGTTTAGCGCATTGGGTTTGTAGGCCACACCATATCCACTAGTAAATTCGCAAGACTCCTTGAAGGTCCTAACGAAGGCATTATCTTCGGCCTGCGCATCCGTCTGCTCCGAGGCGGCCTGTACCTCTTTTGCAGCAGGCGGCCGTTGCGAGAATAGTTTGGCATATTTGTTGTCAAATGAGAGCAGAGTTTCTGCAACGTCCTTGCGTTCAGTTTCGTACGTTGTTAAGATGGCTCGATCAGCGAATCCAGCTTCGACGGCGTGGATTTTCCAGGCGAGATTGAGGGCATCGAGAAATGCTGTGTTCATTCCTTGACCAGCTTTTGGCTACCGAGGAGTCAATAACGCTGTCTAAGAATGATGTATGAGACTTACACTATGAGTATGACAAGCATCGCCGCCCAGGAACACACGGTGATCAATTGTGTATTTATCTGAAATGCCTTGTCCGATAGGATATACCGAGTACCATTCCACATGTTCCCATTCGATGAGGTATGGATGGAGAATCTTCTTCGCGGAGGCCTGAACTTGTTCCGCAGTAGCTGTCTTACGCGGACTCCAGTCTGCATCCGTAGATGATGCGATCTGTATGTATAGCCGGACCATGTTATCTTCGCGAGGAATAACCATTATCGAGCCATGTCCGGAGTGTATAGTACATTTCATCTAAAATCGTCAGTTTGAAGCCAGCCGAAGTTATACAATGGGACTTACCTTGATGTCTGGGAAATCGGTCTTAACAACGCCATCAATAACACCCCAAACATGCGTAATGGGATCCTTATGCGTGATCTTGATTCCCAATTGGTCTCTGACAAATGATCTAGCGCCTTCGCCGCTAAACAAGTATTTAGCTCGAACCGATTCTCGATGATGTCCGTCGACATGTTCCAAATGTACTTCAACGGGATACTCCGGATCTACTTTGCCATCCGACTTAAACCCCTTAATAGTCCATGGCCTTTGGATCTGAACGCCGTTCTTTTCTAGATCTGAGATGAATACACGTTCTATTCGACCCTGATGTACCAGTGTGGTGAAAGGATATCTCGCATCAATAAAACTAGGACAGCTGGCCCAAGTGCCTGTTCTAACGATGCCTTTGCCGTTTTTGGGTGGGTCCCAAAAGGCTACTTCAAAAACGCGCGCGGGCTTATGAGCCATGATGGCAGACTTTAGGCCCATATTGCGAAGGAGGTCTAGGGATCGAGGCTGGATGCCATCTGCGCGACCCGTGGGTGTAGGCTCGGCTCGATTGTCAATGTGTTTGATTTTATAACCCCATCTCGCGAGGCACGTCGAAAGCATGAGCCCTACGGGACCAGCCCCAATAATCACTGAATATACGTTAGTGTTATACGGCGATCGATGCCAACTCACTTACCAATATCATAATGCGGCGAAGTAGACTTCTTTGAAGTCTGATTATCCATCGCTCCTGATAATCGACTGAAGATCCAGATAGAAGGAAGTGAAAATCGATGATGTATAGATAGTAGAAACAACTAACGCCGTATTGAATAAGAGTCAACGATTAAAATTAGTGTCACAACCCGAGTATTTACATATGTGTTGATAGGTAAACTTTCTCAAACATGGGTGATACGTGAGGCTAGAATAAGGGAATGTTCGTGTCCAGTGCTAAGTAGGTTGGGTATTAAGTATTAATTTAACTCGTTTAGAATATATATAATAATACCGAGGGAGAGATAGCTGGAACAGTAAGACACCAGGGCCGCGCTAGTAGCATCCAACGGCAGGAACATCGGGAAGTGCAACTTTATTAAAGCTGTCATCATTTACATTTCCCTTAAAGGCGCAGAGGCTAGAGAGTGGGCAACCTCTTGGCTTGTCATTGGCTTTGAAAGATCGGTGGACGCCGATAGAAATCAGATTGAGGGACCAGAATAGCATGAGTACAGGGCAGGCCCCAGGGTAGGTGACTTAGACAATACTGATCCTTGGTTGCCTCGTCTCATCAATAAGATGAGGAGAGCCCCCCCTCGGGTCCGCTTCCGTCGGCCACGATCAGCGAAATATGGCTGCTGGCTCGCCTTGTATCATAAGTAACCCGGGATGTCAACACGGCAATAAAAGGTGGGGCCGTAGTGGGGGGGGGTTAGTCGCGGCTGAAGGGAGCGGGAATGAAAATGAGACGACCGAGCCTGCCGAGGTTCCCTTAGTGGAACAGGGGAGGTATACATACCTTTTAGCTCATCTCTACAAGTAAGTTCCATTTAACTTCCTAACTTCCTAACTTCCTTAACTTCCGTCGGCGTCAGCTATTATTAAGCTTTCGGAAATATTGAACCTTAAATATTAAGTTCTTAGTCCCACATACACTTAATGGTGGACTTTCAAAAGATGCTCTATTTCTCTAGAGACTTTCTTTGAGCAGTTTTCTACTAGACGCCTTATGCAAGCTTTTAAGACATGGAACTACTTTCTACCTAGATATGCATGAAGCATGAAAAGGGCTAGGTTAATAGGTCGAATATGAAAAATTTGGCCTACTTACGGCCTACCTACACGGCGCTTAATCATATATATGTATATCAATTGATATGTTCAATCATTCCCCTTCCCTCGCATATAAACCAGAGTAAGATGCTACATAAGATGTTGAGGTATGAGGTGTAAAAGGCCAACTTACAATATTTAAAGCTCGTGGTTAAGTAGAGATTTTCCTTAAGAGTCGTTGTTTAAGATGAGAATTTGCACGTCGGAGAAAAAAGAAGAAATTAAGCACCTTTCTCTGTTGACCCCCCCCGCCCCGGCGATGGTATGTCATAATTCAATATGTATACTACAAATGCTGATTGGTGAATAATACCTACAAACCTACTTTATATTGGGGTTGGACATTGCAACATATCGGGATCTTGCAGGTGAGGCTGAACCAAGACCTAAATCAGGGATTGTTCTACCAGGTACCTCTCAGCTTTGAATTTGATGATTTAGGTACCTGGTGTATTATTTTTAGACATCGGATCAACTCTAAAGTCAAACGCTGCATTTGAATTAGCATACGTCCCACATCTGAAGAAGAACCATCCGATAACGAATTAGCAATATTATAGAAGCTTATGTGCCTAAAAAAATCAATTCAACTAAAGTTACGTGTAAGTACCTCCTTAGGTTAGACAGATACATATGTACTTATCTAATCTGCAATAAGCAGTCATAACGAGGAAGCTGTAAAGCAGCTACATAAATGGAAAGAACTATTATCATATGTATTATCAGGTCTTTCCAATATGCTGTGGTCAGTGCGTACATAATGTACTTCGTACCTAGGTAGGGACCTACATGATGTCAAATGGCCCTTATACGGTTTAGTGGCTTGTAATTACAGGGGTGTAGGTGATCGACAAGGCTGGATGCGGCGAAGATAGATATGATAATATGTGGTCTGTGCATTACTAACGCGCTTTCGTTCTTTCCCTATGGAACTGCGCAACCTCAACTTTTTTATCTATCTAGATGCACCTTCCTTCCTACATCGAACCTAATCGCAGAACGTCACTGCCCAAATCAGTTGCAAACTTCGATGCGCACCTGCATGTACGTATGATAGCTCGTAAACATAAACCTTATTTTCGATACCTGGTTTCCCGGACAGCAGATTCGATTGCCTTAAATTTTCGCACTTCCACTCCCATCCAACTTTCCTTTCTTCCTAACTCACACTCCACTTCGCAACGATTACAACAATACAACAGCAGCCTGTTGACAGTTCCTGCACACTTCATCTGATCATACATTGCCTACCTTTTTCCAACATCCAATCACTTTCTAAATTCAGTTTATCTGAACTTGACCTATCGCACCTACAGCAAGGATATACCTCTGTAGCCTTAACTTCCTCATTTCCACATCTCCATCCACACTTCCACATACAACCTTTACGGGTAGCAACCATTATTGACCATGGACTCATCACAGCACTCACCGCTGCACGACTGGCGCATTCCCGTCCATTGCATTTTTTGCTCTCACTGCCGCGAAATTCGCGCAACTATCAACCGAGAAGCCCATGACCAGGCGCACCTGAATGCACAAGTCCACGCCCGGGAAGTCGGTAACTCGCCACGTCCCGCACCTCTACATCGAGCTCGAGTTATTAAGATTCCACGATCAAAGCTATCCGTGACTATCCAACTTCCGAACCTAGAATACCCTGTTGCGCCTGACGACAAATCGACCCTTCCCAGATCGAGAAAGCGAATCCGCCCTCGTTGGGGAGAGCCTAGTGAACTTGAAGCGTCAGCAGCTCGGCCAGTCGCATCACAAGTAGTGAGTTTATACCTTGTCAATATACTTTCAGCCTAAGCAGGCTTGTCACTATGATTTGGCGCTAACATTAATTTAATCAAGAGCCCAAGATCTCGGCCTCGTTAGGAACCTGCCCGACATACTTCGCAAGGCTTAGCTACTGAACAACAATACCCTTCAACAAGGACCGAACCCCCCCCCTTCCACTCTCCCCGACAAATTCCACCACTGAGTCCCGAGACTCGAAGATACCTACAACGGCCTAGTTCCGCTGTGAATGTGCGCGCAAGATTCCGCGTCGCTGCTCCCAAGCGTGTAATGCCTGGAGCTTGGCCATCCGAGCTGGTCGAGATAGACAGTGCGGAAGTGCCAGTATATCATAACATGACCCTACCTACGACACCTACTCCCGCCCCATTCGCGACCAATGTTCGCAATGCCTTTACTTATCTGCGAGACTCATCTCGTAGTCTCTACACAACCTTGAGCAACAGAATCTTCCGCCCGCATCAAAGCCCCTCAATTCCGACACCAGCTCCTTCCGAAGATGGTAGACGGACTCCAAAGCGCCGTCGACTTGACCGCGAAGAGAATGGTCCATTTACCCCTACTGAATTTGTAGATGATCGCATGGACATCGATCATCCTGTTGCTACCGTACCCACCGGTTCATCGACGAGCGAACTAGAAACATCACCATCTATCTCTCCCATAATTTCGCCGAACTCTGCAGCCGCTATAGCCTCTGCTAGAAGAGCTACGCGACTATTTCCTTATAGAAAGAGCCTCGGCTTATCGAGTGACTCACCGAATGGCTCACCCAGTGACCAGACTAATGTGGTAACTCCACCACCTTCGCGTCGAGAAAAGAAGCCAGTCCAACAAGAGGAAGTACCCGAACGGACTTGGGGACCTTTGCCTCCTCCAAAATATGCGAGCATCCAGGAGTTCTTTGCACACGATGACGAGATATGCCTGCCTGGCTTAGAACGCTTGCGGCTCACGCCGAATGATACCAAGATATATGAATTAGATTCACAGCGCGAAGATCGACTGCGCATTGAGAAGGAGAATGCTGAGAAAGAACGTCAGGAACAACTTCGTATCGAAGAAGAACGCTTAAATGAGGCACTGCGCCCGCTCGGGTTACGGAGACCGAAGGCACCTCTCATTACTCCTCTCAGCGACGAGTGGGACCAGAAAGCTAGAGATGCGCCGGATAACGGCAAGGCAGAACAGAACAAATGGAGAGGTGCACGCCATCGAGACGGCGTAGAACTCTCGCCACGAGACTTCGCGAAGCTAGTGCCCACAGGATCATGGTTAAATGATAACGCCATCCAATCAACTTTAGTCCATCTCGCCACTTACGTCAATGATGCAGCTGGCATTATTCCTAAGCAAACCACGCCAAAATGTGTCGCGCTTTCTTCTCAATACTGGTCTAATTTCTTACGCGAACCTAAAAATAATGTCTACGCCCGAGGGTTGGACCGAAATTGGGGCATGAAACCAACCAACTTCCTCGATATTAATACGGTGCTCATCCCAGTCAATAAGAATAACCACTGGACCGTCCTTGTCGTCCGACCATCACGTCGGACAGTCTCTTATGTTGACTCGTTCCAAACAGCGGGGGCAGATCACATACATGACGTCCATACCTGGATGAGATACTTTCTGGGCGACAAATATGTTGCCGATGAGTGGCGCACAGAGTATTACAGTGTGCCCACGCAGACGAATGGATACGACTGCGGTATGTTTGTAATTACAAACTCTATTTACCTGTCGCTGGGTATAGACCCCAGCGGCTACTCGGAGGGCGAAATGCCTCTCCAGAGACGGAGAATCGCCGCGATGCTCCTGAACGGGGGGTTTACCGGCCCGTTCGACTTATCACACCTCTAATTAAATAATTATACCTAACCGCAACTACCTAACCTAACCCTCAACTCTACCTACCCTTAATTCCGCCTAACCTACTAATAATAATCACCTCGAAATAAATACTACACAAATACTCTACACTACTATACCATTACACCACGATACCTCTACATTATCGTAACTCCTCTATACCTTTATATCCTTACACCACTACTTCATTACCCATTAAACTCGCAAAAATACATAACAACGTACGTCAACACGTTACTATTATATAATGTCCTGTATGGACCGGGATTGCATTGAGCCGGTGTTTATTGGAGTTGGTGGTAACAACTTTGTACGCAGTTTAAACTGCATAGCATATCATGTTTGGAAAGGAAGGGCAAGCAGGCGGCATGTCCTATGCGACTCGAATTTTGTCGTGTTGAGCTCTGGTTGGCATTTTTAAGATATCCTCGAAGCATGACAGGAACGGAGTTGAGTGAAAAGTCTATTGAAGGACGCGACTGGCGGCTCCTTCAAGCGGAAGGCCGCCGAAAGGAGCGGGGAGTTTAGGTGTTTGTTTTTTGGAATGTTTGGAAAAGGAGCATCATTGGATAGATAGATGCGATTTGGCGCTCTGGAGGGTAATTCCCAGAGCTGTGATGTAAGACCCTGTCGTGGGTAAATACAGTGTCGATAGAATAGAAATCGACGAGAACGATCAAAGTAACTACCTCTCATCATAAATTCTCTTCAGACTTCTGGTGCGTAGAAAATATTGTAGATTGTCCTAATTAGGGGGATTCCTCTCACATAGTATTGTGTTAAGAAGTTAAGGTTGTATGTCACTCTCAAAAGTGTTTCTTATATGTATCATGAAGTAAAGCTTGTTATTCTTACATACAATCACGCTTCTTAAATGGAGTTGACTAAAACATTAAAATATCATTTTCTTAGGAACTACTAAGTTAGGATCTCAGTGAAGTAGTCAGGGGTCCGCTAAATAACATT